ACATTCACGGGGTCATGTTGATTAATTTGATACGGCAAATGTTGGGGTGGGGCGAGGCAACGAAGCGCGATGGGCGAACATACATACATACATACAAACATACAAACATCTTTGATTTTATTTATAAAGATTGAGATTTCACAGATGCATTATGTAGGAGCTAAATCTGTCTATTTCTCGTCATTTAATAATTTAACAACAAAATGGATAATATTGTAGCAATGATACTTGTCAAAACACCCATCGCGTCGCTCAGAATAAAGTTCTGACTGAAATATTCAATATATTTATTTTTCATTATTTATTTTTGAACTATTATAGCACGAAAAGACAGCACTTTATCTAAACCGAGCATAAGGCGTCTTCCAAAAAATATTCCTTTATAATGTCTCTATTGTGTATTTCATACATCGATGTAGAGAAGTAATATTTGTTTCATTATATCGACTAAATGTGGTTATATCCAATCTCTTATGAATCTTAAAAAATGAAATAAAATAAATTGGATCGGTAATTGATGACAAAAATTGACTATACCACTTGAAAACGTGATGAATTTCACATAAATCTTGCGCTATATGCACCAAAGATGACGTTTCTCTAATCAATACACAGTGTAAACTTTTACGATTAACCAGCTAGAGCTCCGGTTAATTCCAATTGACTTTGTTAATAACACAAAATACGTTGTTGCGGCACGAAAACACCTATTGAATGAAAACAAACGGCGCAAAGACAAATGTTTGAACACGTAATGGGCCAAAGCTTGTATCATGAAAAAAAATAAATAAAATAAAACAGCGAGTTCCTGTTTTGCTCTAGATTCACACAAAGGAGAAAGAAAGTACAAGAACACGCAATCGCGACATGAAAGTGCATTCTGTCGTTCGGGGGAAAAAACTCCAGTGTACTGGCCAGCTACTGTCAAACGTTACCTTCGTTCAGTCGTTGCCATCAATGTTTAGCATTGACTATCACGGATTAAGGACTGGGTGTGATTCGGTTATGTCGGCAATCAAGCCGTCTGTCGTCCACATTTCTTGTTTCTACCATAATCCATATAGAGTGGTCCATGTTAAAATTCAGTTACCCAGTGGTCAAAGGGTTAATTATGATCTGATTCTAATTAGCTCATAAATGTTTAGCCTCTTAGATGCTGGTGAGCGTATGTTTAGGTGCCTTGAAATCTATGCTTTTCATTTGTAGTACCATAAATATGTATACTTTGTAGGCTGGTTATATTTAATTTTTCTGATCATAATTTTCCATATTGCTTACAAGAAATCCTCTTTCTTTGTGGTTAGAAATGAAATGAAACGGTTTTTAACGTCCCACTGTTCTGAATCCGCTGGGATAATGAAAAAGGGCATACGCCTTACAGTGTGATATGGGAGATACTGCAGCGACGCGGGAAACATATTAAACCATTTGTCATAATTTATCATTTTCTTGTTCTAGCAGCAACAACAATTTTTGTCAATTCTTTTATGTCAGCTGCCAATTTGTACAAGGAGTGTAAGACTATTGGTAGATTGGTCTTTAAATTAATAATAGCATTATATTGTATCTTTAACTAATTATTGGATTCACACATTCTATAGAAATCAGATCTCGTCCACTCAAATAATGAGTGACGGATTTCGACATAAAAAGAGTTATAATTTGGTAAACATCTACTTCTAGTTTAATAACAAAATGACACGTGTGAAACTTCTGGTGTAAGTTTCCACTATCATTTTGTTTCGAATATTTTCACCATATGTTTGGCACAATATAGCCCGGTTGGAGCTGACGTGCCATAAAACCACATTTCATTTCGTTAGACAGCCGCTGGATTCCAGGGGGATAAGATGTAGCAATTTCTATCAGCGATTCTGAGTGGATTGCGATTGAGAGAATGATTTTATTCTAAATAATGCATTGTCCCATGTATCCAACTGTTGCATTGGTATTCCTGGGAAGATACCTGTAAGAGCATTGAAACGTTGCATAATACCATAAAGTTGTGTTAGTATTAATAGGATTATGTACTTTCTAACAAGACCGTTTCAGCCCAATAATGATGAAATAAGATAATTCTTTACATTTTGAACACTTCCATAAAGTTTTTGTTAGGGGACTTCAGCTTTAAATGTCTTTAAGTTAAAAATAAAACCAATGTCTTTGACAATAACAGCACTATGGAAGCCTATAAGTACCATTCATAATTTCTACTTTTTGCCCCTTCAAAACACACTATATAAGCCAAAATCGATTCAAAAATAGGAAATTAAGAATAATACATTGCGATAATAGCGCCCCTCGTTTTTTCCTAATTTCTTATTTTCGACTTGCATTTTGGCTTGTGTACCGTCTTGCCGGCATTCGACTCAGTCATATTTTTGTATTTATTGGTGTCAGCAAGAAGGCGCCAACACTCATACCAAGCCATTATGCAACTCGAAAAGTAGAAATTAGGAAATAAGCACATCGCGCTATTAGCGACCTATCATTTTGGCGTGCTGTTGTACTGTCGATTTTTCGAGTTTCGCCTCGGAAGTCGTTGTAGTCTCTACATTTCAGGTCACATTTGAATACGTCATGTAATTCGCGTTAACAAAATAGTCTGTATGATATAGTCTAGTATTGATGGCGATATCAGCGACTTATAATTTTGGCTTGCTGTCGTCCTGTCGACTTTTCGCCTCGGAAGTTAATGTAGTCACATTAGAATACGCACATTAATAATTGAATTTCATTTACTGTGGCCTCATACAGCATATAAAATATACAGGTTTTCCCGATTGGATATTATTATTTTATTTCAAATTATATTATCACATGGGTAGGAAACGTAAGAATAGCGACGTTTCAGTACCGCCGCTAAAATGCACTAAAGTAAACGACGAGTGTGATTGTGAGCATGTCTTACAAATAATATTGAAAAATTTATTTCAGGATTCAGTTTCTGGTACCTGCAATTATTGTACATGCAAACGTAAATTTAAAGACAACGGGAAAAAGGGAAATCCTTGTATGAGACTGGCGTGTAGAGGCTGAATATATATTGTTCAGTAGATGTGGAAATAACGAAAGACACCAGAAATAAATTCTGATATGAGAGAAAGAGAGAGAGAGATGGGTTTAACGTCCACTCGACACAAACTAAGAGTTATTCACAGACTAACATGGTGCAATTTTATTTTAAAAATTGGCAATGAGAGAGAGGACAGAAAGAGAGAGAAATGAAATGAAATGAAATGGCTTTTAACGTCCTACTGTTCTGCTCCGAACAGGGCTAATGAAGACGTGTGCTACGAGGGAACTTTTGCACGGACAGCGGCACTACGGCCTACTCTTATATCGAATTCCAACTGTCATTGGATCTTTTACGTGCACGCAAATGTCTACACGGGACCTCGGTTTTTCGTCCCATCCGAACGACTAGACAGCTGTCACTGACAAGGGGGAAACACGCCGGAAAATCTGGATGAACTTTCTCGGCCAATGCAGGGATCGAATACCCGACCTCCAGTCTTGCGAGTCAGCGTCTTGCGTACCCACTTAGCCACCGTGACCCCAGAGAGAAAGAGAGAGAGAGAGAGAGAGAGACTGAGAGAGAGAGACTTGAATCAATGACAGATCTTGTGATTTCACGCGCACGCGTTAAACCACTAACCCCCATGTAAAACGGATTTTATAAGTTGTATATTATATATATATATATATATATATATATATATATATATATATACCGGTACGGGATAATTCTTTTATAATAGGCCTACATAATATAATTAACTTGTAGTAAGTTGGGGGGGGGGGGGGGTATCAGACATTTTTGGCAGATAAAATATTCCAGTTGGCGGAGAAAAAATATGGATAAATTGTTTAAATAAAAATTATCTATTTTGGCGGAAAATAATGAAAGCCAGTGTGACCCCCCCCCCCCCCCGATTGCACGTATTCAAACGCGACCTGACAAATTGAGACTACATCCACTTCCGAGGCGAAAGTACGACAGCAAGTCAAAATGATAGGTCGCTAAAAGCGTGTGTGCTTATTTCCTAATTCCTACTTTTCGAGTTGCATTATGGCTTGGTATGCGTGTTGGTGCCTTCTTACTGACATCAATAAATACAAAATATGACTAAGTCGATAGTCGACAAGAGGGTACACATGCCAAAATGAAAGTCGAAAAAAAGAAATTAGGAAAAAACCAGGGGCACTATTATCGCGGTGTATTATTTCTTAATTTCCTATTTTCGAGTCAATTTTGGCTTGCATAGCGCGCTGTCGCCTCACATTTTGTCGTAACTTCGACTTTTCGACTTTCGTGTTTTGAAGGGGCGAAAAGTAGAAATTATGAATGGTAGTTATAGGCTTCTGGACTCAGACTAGCAATTATTTGCCCATTGACTTCAATGTTAAATGACTGTAACATCACAGGCTGTAGCTTTTTGCTCAACATTCCGTTGGTTCCAATCTTTATAGGCACAATAGGGACAACATTTGGCAATCTCCTCATCATAATTTTGTAGGGGGTTGACCGTTTAGATTTTTTGCTACACGGATTTGAAGTTGACAGGGGTGAAAATCTCACTTCCGACACAATGATTGCTCTGCAGAAAGACACTTTACACCCCCTATCCCCCCGCTGTAATATCATCAGTATTACCCAAAACTGCTATGAAATTGCAAATTTGATCCCTTTTCTCCAATTCTAGACCAAAAAGTCAACCCAAAAATGCAGGAAGAGGGGAGAAAAAAATTAAGGGAAAAATTGTCTATTTATAACTCGCACTACATTCGTCCATCATGAAATAAGGGGAAATAATTACTAGTCTTAGTCCTTCTATACAGCAGCGAACTGCTCGTAACTTATAGTTATTTATACATCAAGCTACCTCTGCGCAAATGCACTTCCTGTCTATATCTTTTAATACTCCACTTCAACAAGATCTGTCTTTGTGTCTGTTGGATTAACTCTAAAGCAGGCTGAAGAATAGAAAAGATTTATTTTTAGACTGGTGGGTGATTCATTTGTGTCTTCTAGATATAATTGTATTGTATTTGTGTTTCCCAGGTCACTGGAGAAAATGGAACAAGTTTTCGAAGTTTTGCTGTCTTTAACAGTTATTTTAACAGGTATTTAATACTTTGATTTATGTTTTGGTAACAAATCAAACCATATCTGACGATTCAAAAAAGAAAGAATTGGCTGTCAGTAGATAAGAGAAAACCAGAAAGATAGAAAAGTTCCGTGCATTCCCTTGTTTTTATTCATTCTGTACTTAATAAAAACACGCTAATTCGCGACTTTTCTAATTTGTTCGTTTTGTCTTATCTAGTGACAGCCAATTCTTTTTATAAATTGTCAGATGTCATATAATGACACTCAATTCTTTTTAAGACTTGTCAGATATCCTCTCACAGTCTCGTATATCAACGTTTCGTATTTAACAGTTATCAGTGAAATGAAATTCGACCGTGTGTCTGTTCTCGCGCGTTACATCAGTCAGTTACATATTTGTCATATTTTGCGTCATTTCCCGTTTCTTCAAATGCTCGTTACGCATCTCCCGTAGCAATTATCTTTGTTTTAAAATTATATTTGGAATGTGTTTAACCAGTTCTATCACATTTGTAATAATGGCTGACGCCAATCTTATCCTTTAACGATTGTGTATTGTGTCAACAAGGTTAGTCAAAGATGAACCATAATTTGTAGACAGAATGAACCCCGCTTAATGTTTGGATACAAAAATTGAACCGTATAAAGCTTGCACCTGCATTAGTAATCGAACAAAGCAAAAAATTTAATGGTTTATTTAAGTTCGTTACGCGTGAAATGCATAGGATTTAAGGTCCAGTCTAATGAAGACGGTAACCTTTAAACATGCATTATTCAAGAGCGAAATCCCTCTATTGAGGGGCTTTCTACGGGCCTGGAATGTTATCTAAATTATCAAATGGACATTTATTAACCATGACAAGACCAAAAAACTCTCGAAGCCATCGTAAGCCTGCGATATTTACTGTATTTGAATACATTTTGTGATGGATAATTTAACGTAAACTGGCTAATCGAGCCTTTATTTGTTATCATACCAACGTCAGTAACGACGACCGAGACTAGCCTAAAATTCAATGGCTACTATCTCGGTTCAGATTGAAGCAATTTGTTTTCTGACACTATTTATTCAATAAATATTTACATATTATAAAAGGACGCTATATATTTGTGGGATCTGAAAACAAGCCGGAGCTTATATAAATTCATCCCCCCAGGAATATAATAAAGTACTTTGTATAAGATTGTAATCGTAAATAATATACACGTACATTGTACTAGAATAAAATTACAAGGTAAATATGTTTACTCTCATTTAGTTAGTCAAAAGTTATATTGAATATGGTATAAGTACAGAATGTAGAAACGTAGTGTGGTTAGCGAAACGATTATCTGATGTTCATAGTACCGAAAGGCTATACGAAAACCGAGTTGTGGTAGGAGGAGAAAGAAAGAAACTAGTATCAGAAATGGGGGCATCGGCGTGCGAGGGTATTACATAGTTGCTAAAAGCCGTTTAATAATAATGAATATTAAGGACACGATATGAAACAGGACAAGTATTACCACCTTTCAAGAGGCACTAATTATCACACGATTAGTATGAAGACAAGATAATTATCTATACATATGGTCAGTTATGTCAATCAAGGCACGTCAAGCAAAACCCAGCAGTGCACTTTTAGTATGATCATTTAAGATAAGGATATCCATAAGCATAATTTATCAAGAAACGGTGAGTAAATCATACGTGCCCCCCCCCCCCGTAAAAAAACCCCACAAAACATTAAGGACACGATATGAATCAGGACGAGTAGTATGCCCAACATAAAATGATATGTACGTCGTATCATCAATCTTAAAGGTGAGTAAAATCAAATATGTATGCGGTAGGTATCATCAATGAGAAAGTAGTAGGTATGCCCAACATGAAACGATATGTATCATCAATCTTGAAGATGTGTAAAATCAAATATGTATGCGGTAAGTATCACCAATGAAAAAGTTGTAGGTATGCTCAACATGAAACGATATGTATCATCAATCTTGAAGGTGAGTAAAATCAAATATGTATGCGGCAGGTATCATCAATGAGAAAGTATATACGGTAGGTATCACCAAACAGTAGGTGGTTAGTAAAAAGACGGTTAGTAATAAGTATACCATGAAGCAATTTGACTGACATTTTCAGCGTTTTTGTTTTTATTATCTAATTGTTAACAATTATAGCGAGAACTGTCAGCACTTTATCTAATCTTACCTAATGTCCCTTTAAGCGTAAATGCTACCATTGCATTGATTATATATGATTATTGTACTGGATGAACTAGTTTAAAGACTCGCGCGTACTTGCTCAATATCGTGACGGGGATTATATGACAACCTGTTCACCTTTGAGCTGATATTCGAAGCCAATGTCAGGCGAAAAAATACGATCTACTTTTTTTGTCGCTTATACATGTACTTTTGAACAGGTTTTATTGAAAGTAAAATAAACGTTTTCAGAGATTATAATCTTCAATCAATGTCTTAAAGTATTGACAAAGATTGAATGACTCTGTAAATTATATTTATGTAATATTTCCGTGATAATATAAAGTTCTGACAGTGATGCTGTGAAAGAAAACACGATAAATGGATTGAATAATAAACCAAAAGTTCAAAGAGATTTGTTTATAATGACAATCATATCGATGATACAATTTTATATTTTGGTATCAGTATTTCTAGATAATTTGACTGAAAAACAATTATCAAGTGGAAATCGAATACAGTGCACGTTACAGTTTAAAGTCCCGAATAAATATTATGCATATTTCTCAAAAAAAAAAAATTTTTAAAGGGAATTTCTTAAGAAAGAATTTTAATTTCTTTAACTGGAAAGAAATTTTAGGAGTGTGAAGAAAGAAGAGGACTCAGGAAGTCCACTATGTGTTAGGCAGGCGATCCCATTTCTTGTTAATCGGCAATGTTAGCTTCGACTCCATGGTAAATTGCACCGCCACCAACAGTACTGTGATATCTGATAATATCTGATACATTCTGGGACTGGGAAATTAGATAAAGAGCTGGCAGCTTTCACTATAAAAACTAGATAATGTAAAGGGTATTTGCTGAAAATTTCAGTCAAATTGATCCAATCTGAACCGAGAATTTAGCGATTGAATTTAGGGTACGATAAAAAAAAAAGACATAGTCTCGATTATCCACTTCATAAGTTAATCATAAATGAAAGTTGAGCAGCAAATCGGATCCTAATCCAGTAAACATCATAGTCTAGCGATGACATCGAGGGTTGATTATGGTTTGGATAAGTTAATTAATGTCTAATTAGTCATTGAGATAACATTTCAGGCCTAAAGAAAGACCTGCAATAGGCAGATTTAGCTCTTGCATAATGTATGTTTAAGTATAATGTCCTTTGCCTTTTTTAAATGGACGAATTTGTAAATTTAATCAATGAAACGTCTCAGATATTGACATTTATAAATATAAAGCACGCTTCTGTTTGCGTGGTTTATCATAACTTTATCTATATTTGTATTTTTTAAAAAATACTCTAATCAATGTTATTTGTTTTTGTCATAAAAGCGAGTCCATATATGAGTGATTATAATTAAGGACTTGTTCAAATCTGCCCAGTCAAGCGATTTACTTAACAATACAAAATTTACCAATTGAAATTCTAGTCTTCGTTAAATTCACAGCCAAAAAGGGGGCTCTGATAATTTGACACGGTTTAGGAATGTTATTTTCATTTAATTCCCCCCCGCCTTTGAAGAAAGCAGAGAACTATTAAAAAAGGTTCGTTTGTCCGTCCGTCTGAAGAGCATTTTCTGTTAAGTCCATGCAAAGATACATAGTTTCATTGTACACGCCTGAGAGAGAGAGAGAGAGAGAGAGAGAGAGATTAACGCCCACCCGACACAAACCAGGTAGGTAGGGAGAGAGAGAGAGAGAGGGTTAACGTCCACTCGACACAAACTAGGTCATTTCGGGACTAACATATGGTTCAATTTAATTTCAATAATTCGCTTGCGCGTAGAGGTCTTTAGCAGTGGGAGGAAACCGGAGGACCCAGAGAAAACCCACGAGGTTGGACAGGCGACCCTACTCCTTGTTACGTACAGATGGGGACTCGAAACCACGGCAGTTAATTCAATGAGACATTATGATACAATGCGCACGCGCTAACCATTCGGCCATCCAATCCCCCATTACAAATTTATCGTCCAATACATTATATGATATTATGGACAGGTTCATTTAAGTAACTTTTTATATTATGAATTGATTGCATCATGCTCATTGATTATTTATAAATCATGGTTTGTAGAGGCGTGATTGGGTTCTTCCAACCCACACATTTCCTTAATTGTCATTCAATTCATTTGAATTGATTTTGGTCTTGGAATTACAGGTCATATTTATCTATCACTGGTATATTCTTGTCTGTTTTGTAAATAGTTTATCTAGTGAATCCAGTGTAAGCTCTAGTTTCTCATTGGCTACAGTAGACCACATTTTGTCTGTCATTTTTGCAATACCTTAGGGGGCTGTCAAAAAAAAAAAAAAATATACCCCAGATCTTATCTGTGGATATTTGCCTTCAAATGACGTTCCACTGTTTTATGTTGATGTAATGCGTCGGTAACAGTGTCTGAATAATAATATCAGAAAACTGACATTTGTGCTCTTGATGAGATATTGACTTTCTGTAAATCTGATCAATCATTTAAAAGTCAGTTATCTACAGTGCTAGTTCTCTGAATCCACGGTTATGTCGTCAACACAGAGTGTGATAAAGCATGGATTTAATGATTATTCTATGTTGTGTATTGACATTTTCAGTTTTAAAGTAAACAAGCCTACTTTTGCCTAATATTTGAAAACGAAAATTTAATCACACAGAGTTTGCCGCATCGCTAATTGTGAAAAATCATCAGATCAACCCAATGTAACACTTTAATTTTACCTTAATCAAAAAAAGATTAGCATCCTTTAATATATATATTTACACGTACCCTTTCAAACAGTTCAGTCGCACAAATTAATGATTTATATATTTTGTTTGAAAAAAAGGTATTGTGTTCGGTTTTTTTTCTTTTTGGGAAATACAAGATGATACAAAACACGCTGATATGAATATTATATGACTTGAATTTATATTGTTGCTAGGTGATGTCAGGTTTTCATGTTGTCGGGTTATCGGCCAAATTCCTCTCAATGCTATGATTATGTACACTGATCCTGGTGATGGTCAAGAAAGTTCCCCGGGATTTTGCAGCGTGGTTTCTCCATGTCGGTAGTACAGGACAAAGGGTCGGGCAAAGAACAGTGTATAGTATTGTAGGTGGGACAAAAAAACAAGCTCATGTGAACACATTGGCGTTCACATAAAAGAATCCTTCAGAGTTGAAATTCGATGAAGAAATGCCACCGTCCATTGAAAATTTCCGTCATATCATTCTGCACAGCGTATGCCTATTTTAGGCTGAGGGTGCCCCACCATAAATAAATATCTCCAAATATCTCGACAATTACACCACAATATTTATTTAGATACCAAGCCTTAAATCAGTTTCGCACATTTATAGTCACTAAATAAACGTTCATGTTGTACTTAATAAGCTATGACCATTTAACCATCCATAAATAATAGACTTAAATTGGTTACGAGTGTCGGCCATAACACCCGGGCACTTTTGAGTAAAAAAAATTAGGTTACGTGCTATTGTTTTGAAATTCGTCTCGCTTAACCAGTCTACCGACCATTCTACGTCTGATTGACAGGCCGGGATAATCAAGATTATTTTTTTTACGAAACATAACAGAAAGCTGGAAGAAGAAATTGAATTTAGAAACACGTTAGGCTAAATATTACTGCTATTCAGAATCGTCAACAATAGATTTTTTACGGCTGTAATAGTTGATAGATGTGTAGAGAATTGCACGTGCGATGGCTATTTATAGATTCATACACTCTACCACTGAGTATTATCGCACTGCATGATTAGCCAGAAATCCCGTGCACATTCGCTGTGTCGAGTTCAACTTTCTGTAAGGAGAGAGAGAGAGAGAAGAGAGAAGAGAGAGGGGGTTTAACGTCCACTCGACACAAACTAGGTCATTTCGGGACTTACATATGGTTTTATTTTATTTCAATAATTCGCTTGCGCGTAGGGGTCTTTAGCAGTGGGAGAAAACCGGAGGACCCGGAGAAAACCCACGAGGTTGGACAGGCGACCCTGCTCCTTGTCACCTTTCTGTAGGGAAAATTTTCGCTGCACGGGGCACCTTACCTATTTTCAATCATCGGATTGGTGCAGAAAAGTAGGAAAATGAAATGGAATGGAATGAGGTTTAACGTCCAACTGTTCTGCTCCGGGAGCCACAGTGGCTAAATAAGTAATACGCTGGCTCGTTAGCCTGGAAGTCGCGGGTTAGCTCCCGGTGTTGGCCGAGAAAGTTCATCGAGAATTTACGGCGTGGTTTCCCCTTGTCAGGGCTGCAGGGAAGAGGGCCTGCCAAGGACAGCTGTCTAGTCGTTCGGGTGGGACGAAAAACCGAGGTTCCGTCTGTACATTAGCGTGCACGTAAAAGATCCCTTGGCAGTTGGAATTCGATATAAGAGTAGGCCGTAGCGCCGCTATCCCGTCAAAATGTCCCTCATAACACACTGTATGGCGTAAACCCGTCTTCATTAGCCTTGCCGGAGCAGAACAGACGGACATACGCTATACAGGTTACTATGAGGGAAACTTTGTCTGGATAGCGGCGCTACGGCCTACGCTATACAGAGTGCTAAGACGGAAATTTCCAATGGACCGTGGTATTATTTATGTGCACGCTAATGTGTACACAGGGGCTTGTTTTTCTGTCCGATCTACACAACTAGACACTGTACTTTGCCAGGCCCTTTGTCCTGCACTGCCGACAGGGAGAAACCACGCTGCAAAATCTAGGGGAACTTTCTTGACCAACACCAGGGTCAGTGTACATAATCATAGTATTTAAAGGAATATGGACTATAACCCGACATTGTCTGCGATATCACCTAGGTGGAAGCGGACGTAAAACTTCTATTTCACACACACATAACCGGACACCACGACAACCCGACATCACGACCTCACGAAATTTTAATCAGACAATACGACATTTTTACGCGACATTACGACATTTTTAATATCGTGGTGTTGGGTGAAAATGTCGTATTGTCGGGTTAAAATGTCGTGATATCGGGTTGTCGCACACCATCTACTCATGTATGTAAATTTGCTCATATTATGCATTTTTGGATATGTGTATTTGTCCATTCGGTTTTGGATTCCGAAATAGAGAGTCTAATATCATACCACTGAAGGATAAGACCACCTGTTCCCAACGACGTGGCTAATACACACCTAATACTACTTGTAACATAAAATTTGTTATGTTTAATAAATATTGTGATTTGTCTTTTATACAGCTGAAGTATCAACCACCCCAACAGAGAAGACTGGTTTTACTTTGTTTACACGAAACAGTACATGGAATGAAGCGTATTGTATATGTTTGTATCATGGTATGAATCTGTTAACACTCGACACTAGGGAGAAAGCCACTACATTTGAATATGTTTATGAGAACGCAGTTATTAGCAGTGGCAGTTGGTCAGCATTGTATGTTCACACTTATTTTATTAGTGTCTCATAATCTTTGATTGAACAGGTCATGTATTAATATTACCAAATCAAGTAGTACACTAACAACTTCGTTTTATGTGAAACAATATGAAAGGAAGCACGACCCTTCCTTGAGATGCCCGGGTATTAACGGTGATTTTAGATCTGAATTTCAGCTTCAATTTGTACCTTTTCCGGCGTGGTTCTCCCTTGTCAGTGATGCAGGACGGAGGGGCTGACAAGGAAAGCTGTCTAGTCGTTCGGATGGGACGAAAAACCGAGGTCCCGTGTACACATTGGCGTGCACGTAAAATATCCCTTGGCAGTTGGAATTCGATATAAGAGTAGGCCGTAGTGCCGCTGTCCGGGCAAAATTTCCCTCATAGCACACTGTATGGCGTATGCCCGTCTTCATTGGCCCAGGTTAGGAGCAGAACAGTAGGACGTTAAACTCCATTTCATTTCATTTCATTTCAATTTGTACCAGTGTCTTAGTAATGGCAAGTTACCAACACCCTATCCTCTATTATAATGTATCATTTTCTAGTATACAATTTAATTTTCTGTTATTTTTAAAGATCTGTTATTCTATATTACAACCCGGCCACCAAGAAAAAGCAAGATTATTTCATAGGGCGGGGGGGGGGGGGAGCTTTCAAATTTGAAATTTCGAGTCGTTAGTTTCTACTGTGTTATGCACAATTATTTTTCCATAAACATATAGATTTTTAAAGCTTGTGAACGCAATTTTATTGATAGTGAGGCTGTAACACTCTTTAAAAATTGGATACAAGAACTAAACTTGACATAGGTAGGGTCGTTTATAAAGAACTTCTCTTTAGCCACTTAAATTTTCAAAATAGCCGCCATTTTCCGAGATGGGTGTTATTTTCGACTTTTCTTTCACATGAATTTACCCACTGGACCGAATGGGAGGATTTTGATATGTATTCCTATGTTTTTAACCACTGGAAAAACGAATTTTCATCCAAGCTTGATTCTGCTACCTCATATACCGGAAGATTTGTATTTCGCCAATCCGGGTTATTTTACCACTGCCAACAGATATACCACTATTTTCCAAGCCTGTCAAATTCCGTTCGTGATACCTAATTTATCTGATTGCACAATTGTTAAATCCCCCCCCCCCAAAAAAAAAAGCAACCCCCCCCCCCCCACAAAAAAAAACCCCAAACAAAACAAACAAAAAAACACAAGGTTATACTATATCAGGGGAATTGAGAAAGTAATAGATGCGCAACTGCCCAAGCACAATGTCGATCGTACTTGAATTGGCGGGGCCTTGGGCTTCTTTCGAGGAGCTTCGCCCACAAGAGGAAAAACAAGATCAGTAGCACTTGGACACCAGTCCCATGTCCAAACAACGCCGGTGATTTTTTTCTAAGAAAGTGCGCTTGTCAAAAGCTAGCTGGCTCGGGCGTGAATTACTGGATCCTATTAAAGATGCATAATGCAAGAGCTAAATGTGTCTATTGCAGGTCTTTATTTTGACTTCAAAGTTATATAAACGATTATTAAGTCATATATTCACATGCCAAGCTCATAATCAACTCTCTAGAACATCGAATAGCGGACATTTAAACGTAATAAAAACGGTCGCCATTTAATAATTTAATTTAAAAATGGCGAAGTGAGGCTAAGTCTCGACAAACAAGTACCGTTGTCACGATAATAAACAATAAACAATCTATGTCATATCCTGTCAAACTTCAAACGGTTATAACGTCGCCCAGGATATAGTAATTTGAATGAAATTTGCAATATAGTCATTATCTATTTTTGAACTATTATAGAAAGAACGGTCAGCTCTTTGTCGAAATCTATATCTTTAATAAACTAAAATACCCGATAGACGAATAGTCCGCAAAACCGTTATAGTCTTGCAGTCTTTAATACCAAAAGCCCGACACAATCCCGTCTTCTTCAATTCCCCCATCATTTATATATCTGTGAAGTTGTTTTTTTTTTTTTTAATGCCAGACATACTGGGTTGTGACAGGATATCCGTTTCGTTTCAGAATTTAGACAACAATTTTAGGATTGTCGGCTTTAAAGGTCATTTTCATATAATATGATATTTGAAACAAACGTAGATTGGGCTTATTATTGAAAAACCGAGAGAGAACAATCATACTCAGAACAAGCACTGTCATCCTCTGAACTTCGTATAACCATTCTAGTCTACACAGATTCTTAAAACGTATATATCTCAATTATCGATTGGCAAACCTGTCCCATATGTTTTATCCAATCTCATTTGAAAACCCCGCAAACTAATCAGGACAAATCGAAGCAGAAATTTAAATCAAATTCTACATCATAATAAAATGAACATATTATAAACGTGCTATTTTTTATTTGTTTTAGATCTAACGACCATTGGTTTGGTTTGTATAATAGCGGCATGTCCGGGAATAGGTATACCTATGACTGGACCAATGGACAACCGTACTCATGGAGTAATTGGTATCCCAATGAGCCAAATTTTGAACATGATGATAAATGTGCGCGAATAGATGTGTATCTTTGGAGAACAATGACATGTTATAGTCAATACACCTTTTTTTGTCAGAAAGCTTTGGGTAAGAAAAACTGTAACGTTTATTTATTGGTCCAGTTCAAAGGCTAATTCAGACAAAAGTGTATGTACTGATGGCATATAGTCATAGGCTGAACTGTGGTAACTATGTTTGGTTAACAAAGGACATTGTTAGCCGTTTTCGTTGTCTCATCTGCTCTTGTACAAATGTTGATACAGTCATTTCATACATAACGTGCATAAAAAACATTATTTTTGTGGCGAACTAGCTCTAAAAACATGCCATAATAATGTGCTAGGGTAACGTTCTCTAGCATTGCAGACGGCTATTCTTTCTGTGTACTACTTTGTACACCAACTTTTATAAAACTAGCGCAGTCTCAATCTCTTCGGCATTAAGTGAGCAGGGTCTGAAATGCTCTAGTCTTAATATGGGGTAGGTGAAAGCTGACGGGACTGAAGCGGTGTAATACAGCAAATACCGTACTTTGGGCTATATCCATTGTGGCTAACTGTGGTGGTAGTTATAACAATACCCTGGGAGGGATATGACCTCGTTGCTCCATGTTTAAGAATCACTACGAACACTAATTTAACTGGGCAAAATTATTTCGGAATCAAGTTTATCTTCTACGCTCTAACAGGCACTGCAACAGTTGCTAAGATCACACTAATTATTGGTTTAAAGGTCCATATTGAATCTATAATATACGTTTCCCACAGCACCCATTTATTAATGCGTTGACTTTCTAACATAATTGTTCCTAATCTTCTAGGTTCATGTACCATGGAGAAGGTAAAAATGTCTACACCATTAGGAACACCGAGTGAAAAACTTGATCTTGCAGAGAGTGACTGTATCAGATACTGCCAGGACGATTCCTCAGCCACTGATCAATGTTATGCTGTACAGCTGGTAGCCCTATTAACTTGTCATGTCTACAAATCCACTGACAATAATATGTTTGTTAAAAGGTCTGACGAATCTTTGTTAGATTCAACCAGTAATATTTACAGAAAAGTTTGTTACGAAGGTAACTAGACCTATGGGGTTTTGTCTACATTCAAAATATCAGACCCAAAGATAAAGCCAATATTGAAATATAGCGAATTTTGTGTTTAACAGTCGACGGTTTAAGTTAAAATCGAAACGAAATATAGTAAACAAACCGACTCCCGCTTTAATCTTATGACACTGTCCACATCACTGGCCAGTAAAGCATATCCTATTAATGTAGATCAACACTTATTTTATTTCAATAATTCGCTTGCGCGTATTGGTCTTTAGAAGTGGGAGGAAACCGGATGACCCAAAGAAAACCCACAAGGTTTGACAAGCGACCCGACACCTTTTCACCCACCACGCCACTCTACTCAAAGACAGACCTTGTGATCTAACGCGTATGCCCCTCCCCACCCCCTTAACATATAAAACAAACAAAACTATTAAAATATTTAATTAGACGAAAGGTTTTGAAATGAAATTCATTCCATGTCAGCACAAGCATTTATAATTTCTTTCCTTTATAGGGTCTGTTAATACAGGAGATTTAATATATAGTGACACAGGAAATAAACCCTCGTTAACGTGTGGTTTAACTACAACACCGACCACCTCTTCATCGACAACTACTACTACCCACTCTACAACATCACCAACAACCACAACTGCTTCTACAACAACATCATCACCAACAACCACAACTGCTTCTACAACAACATCACCGTCAACAACTTCTACTTCTTCTACTGCAACATCACCGTCCACAACTACTGCTCCTTCTACAACAACACCGTCCCTCGCTACTACTCCTTCTACAACCACATCACCGTCAACAACTACTACACATTCTACAACAACATCCCAGCCCACTACTTCAACAATACCGTCAGCAGAATTTACATTTATAACAGAATTTCTTTCGGCAATAACAAATACACCGACATCACCATCAAGCAATGCATCTTCATCTTCGTCCACTTTGATGGCATTATTGGCCAGATCATCCTCAACACAATTACCCGCATCAGCGTCCTCGTTGGTGTCTTCGTCGGAGACCTCCTTCCAAAGTTCTTCGACGTTAGGTATTGTTCTGGCGTCAACAGTTGCAAATTACCCTATCTCCTCAAATCTCAATATTGATCCGACAAGTGTATTGGATATAAGTTCACCCGGAGTGGAACAAATATCACTTTCGCCGTCTCCTACAACTCAGTTGTCACCCATTTCACTACAAACATCTTTAGATACCACAGCCTCACAGTTTACCAGAATCATTCCAAGTAAGTCCTTTCGTAGTTGAATATCCCAGTCTCGCTAATCAACCCTGGGATATTTGGTTGTGGTTTCCATCCGATTTCTCAATTTTGAATGCAAATATTATTCACAGTATAATCCTTGAGAGGCATTTAGCAATTGATTTATGATGCAATACTAGAACACTTGGTTTATTATACTGCAACGTTTCAACAAGATTTCTCCAGTCGTTTTCAAGCAAATACCGTATGTACAAGTAGATAAAGTACTTCTTTGTTTACGGTAGATAAATACATAAATAAATAAAAAAAATACTTCCAGGTAAAAATAATTCTACACGTTACTTCATTCTGACATATTAAATCATATAAGCTAGCTGTCTGCCTTCTATGGGCATCTTCAGATATTAATAATGTATACAAAATATTGAAAATATCCTACATATATATCTATATACACTCTTAGAATAACAGATTTCCATGGCAATGGATTGTCAATAATATTAGGTAACGTAAAACAAAAGATTAAAGGTGTAAAATACAAAACATGACATTAATTTACATAGTCTTGTTGGTAGGCCTACAGTTTGACAATAGCCAATACAGGAATAATGAGATGAAATCAATGTTCCTCGACCAATTATGTAATCTGGCTATAAAACTTAACCTTTTATTAATTTACATAGTCTTCCTGGTATAATCTGACAATAGTTAAATACAGAAGTGAATAGATGAATTAAATGTCAATAGGTCAATTATATAATTAGGCTATAAATTTAACCTTTCAGGATCATTTATATCAATTTTATTCTATAATAAACCGATAATAGAAAAAAAGGGAATAACAGGGTTTAAAATTTTCTTATACAGTGTCGAAGTAAAAAGTGTAAATATATATATTAAGATTTTATTCATGATAACACAACTTTATGGATTTACTTCTTCTTAGTTTATTACATGCAACGTAATATAGTAATACAGATTGGCTAATCAGTCCTCATAATTTTATCTCCCTCTACAAAGAAAAGACATCCGATGCCAAAAATAAAATGGAACGTAATTAACATTAGATTTTTTATCAAAGTGAGCTATGGCGGGTGTGGCGCCAGGCAGAGTAAGCTTACTCTTCCGGACACCTGTTACCACTGTTTGTCGTGTATTTTGTACACGAGCAGTCCATTTGCTGATTACACTATTTTGCTTTAATACACCATTTTGCCTATAACGTATTTTAGGACTTCGAATTCTGTCTTATGGTTTGGATTGTTCGTACTTGGTTTTATTTTATGGATTCCATCAACCCCCATCCCCCTTCCCCCATACCCAATTCAAACACTGGAATTGACTAAAATTAATTGGTTCTATTTTTCAGAAATGTTGTTGTGTGGTTGTAAGTGTTCACTGAGTTCTGTTGATTTTCAACTCAAGATACAACAGGTCGTAGATGAATTAACGGTCATTAAAAACACTACATCATCTTTCCGTCGTAAACTGACATCGGCCGAAGATGTGAGGCCGTCTGCCCAGGCACTAGGTGCTGTCGGGATTTTCGTGTTTACAATTACATTTGGTGTAATTGTGGTACTAGATGCTGCGAGATTTATTAGATTTATGTACCGACAAATGGGCGATAAAGACTCAAACAGTTATGAATAAGTTACAAATTTGCAGTTGGTGGGATGCCAGTTTCTGTTTATTTGATTAGGCTTTTATTATGTATCTTTTAAAAATTAAGACATAATGACTTAATCTGGTATACATATACGTTTGTTTGTGATTTCTGCGTTTTGTGTAATTGTGTGTGGTGCAATCGTTTCCAGGCCCTCACTGACAGATCAAGTTGGATGGATTGTCGAAATGATGGGGTTTTGGCATAAAGACTTTATCTTGGTTGTTTGGAGGTATTTTTGTCGGATTCGAGACATACTATACGCTACCGTGCACCCTGTCTTGTCGAATTTACGTTTATGCAATAAAACATTTTGTAAGCAATGAAGTACTAGTGTATGCACCTTGTGTAAATAATATGTGTGGATATTGCGCAAATATTGAGAACTACGTGTTTGCGGAAACAGAATTGTGTTTTGGCGCGTAACTGTGTCGCAATAACATGTTCGGACTGCTTCAATTCAGTAGACCATAAATGTGTGTCCGTACCTTTTTTATAGAAATAGGTCAATGTGACAGACATACGCAGTTGTTGTTGAGATGTACAGTTCCATCATGCCGATTAATAATATTTGTTCGATCCTTCTCATAACACTAGACTTACCCAACTATTGCGAACTGTTGGAGTGGTGGGGTTTTCTTTCGGGTTTGGGGGATTTTAATGACGATTCAAAAACGGGCGTGGGCCGATCATTTGGAAAATTAGAATTTAACAACTGTTTTAAGAAAATTGTTTCGCGTCGTTCAGCTCGGCTGGTCGTTTATACATTTGTTTAAAGCGGAAATTGCAAATTTTTAAGTTATATTTTTAAAATTTATTAAAATAAAGCCTGAAAATAGATGGTATCCATAAACAGTCCTACCTTGTTAAAGAATAATCTTATTAATCCTATAATTCACTATTACCAGCTGAGAAATTGGCAAAAATATCATTTTCCTCTTCATTTTCAAACGGTTTGAAAAAAGCTACTCCATGGTGGAGAATAGAAAACAAGGGAGGTAATTGGGAGTAATTGTGTTATTATTTCCTGTGTAAATGAGTTGTAAGTGTGAGAATTACACCTATGATCGTATAATTGTGAGTTGACAACCTATTGAGCAAAAGACATAGAAATAATTACGTTTTGACTTTCTTAGAAAATTTGCAATTTCCGCTTTAAATTCTTACTGGGTATCAATTACATACGCCTTCCAATTGCCGTCTTTGGATGATTAAAATTCACCAACAGAATAATTTATTGCCATGACAGGTGCTAGATAATGGTGTAATTTTATAACTTTGCAAATCATTGTGGGCAAAATAAAGCAAGTTAACAGTGAATACAAAATTTCACGACATTTGGCATGCTTTGGTTACATTAAAGGAGCTAAGTCTCTAACTCATTATTTTCCATAATATTCAAAATTAAAAACACGAATTAGAATTTAATATTGATCAATTTCAAGCAATATTGACCTTATCTTGCCGTGAAACTATGGGATCCTAATTAATATCCAATATTTAAGACACAATTAACATTTTATAATCAGTACACGGGTCGTGTACCCTATGGTTTTGGGTGCCATTTTGTAATGAACAAATAAAACATATCCTACAACACAGTGTGAAAATGATTAGTAAATGCCGATTCACAAACGACAAAAAAATAATTTTTAAAAAAACGTGTAGAATGCACTAAGCAGGCGTAAACGACTGCCATTCAATTTGAACTGTTCACGTATTTCACCGAACATAATTGATTAGAAATTTCATTCTTTTTTCAAAAATTGAATATAAATCTCTTTACATACATTCATATAACATTAATATGCGCTTTTAGAAACATTTGGTCTATTTCAAGGTTCCAAAAAATAGAGCCACACGCCCTTTAATGAAAACAAATTTGATTTTTTATTTATGTTAACCTTGTTTAATTGTAACTGGAGAAGTTTGATTCAACATCAAGCCACACGCTGTATCCTTTCAAACAGTTTGAACAATAGAAGACGGACGTAATTCAATATTTGCAACAACAAAGTGTGTAAGGAATAAAATACGTATTATAAATTAATAATTGGTATATTTTGTTTGAGGGAAAAGTATGTTACGGGTAATAGAAATCGTAACTGTTTTATCGAAAATTTGGGTAAACAGTTTATTCTTTGTTCAGCGGAAAAATATTATATTAAACGTGTTACTTGATAGATCATAAATTATCGATCTAATAACATGTAAAATTTAGGTTTTCGGCGACTTTTTAGTCAGTTTTTCTTTGGAATCGTGGTATCAAGATACAAATCGGCATTAGTCATAAGGTCTTGGCTTCGTTAACCAATAAGAAATCATTTATTTTTTATTATTTTTTTTTTAGACAAAATTGGATGTTTCGTACAGAACTTGTTTGTGCAGAACCTATAAAAGGATATTAGGATGACTTGTTAATGTATATATTATAACATACTTAAGATTTTTCGGGTTTGCTTTTAATTGCAACTTTGCTTGACCTGTTGGGACGCATACATATGCAATAAACTTACTACTGATTTGCCAATATATTATATAAAATGTTATAAAATCTCGAAAGGCACAATTAACTTGGCCTTTATTATATAAAAATGTAGAAGTATATATCAAGATTCAGAGAGCTAGAAAAAATGTATTTGGCAGGGTTCTTTCTGGGTTCTATCTTTTCTTTGCCGGGAATGATAGGCGTTTTTACATGCGGTAAGAAATCAAAACTGGGCTACGGACAATGCTGAACATATCAAAGGAAATTAAAAATATCACAAACTGTTTATATGTAACATTTAAAAAAAACCGTCCATTTTAGTCCACTAAAATGATATAAAACCTGAAAAGGCAAAATCAACATAAAAAGCAATCCGCTTTATTAAAATTACCGTATACGCCCCATTTCCCGATATTATGAACCCACAAGTAGAACAAGGTAGGTATGTTCATTAAAGGAGAACGTTGTACCTCGAGTTCTGTCGCGTAGAAACTGTTTACATATATTAGATAATGAATCAAATATGAATGGTCTACAACGAATAAACTACCCCCCCCCCCTCCCCAAACCCACACACACACAATAACGAATAGATAATGCAAAATGAATATATTGAAAATTTCAATCAAGTTAGTCTATTGCGAGGGTAGATATTAGCCTTTGAATGTTTGACAAGATGTGTGCATTAATTGCAACCGCTCTACTGGTTGTTTCTCCATTTTTAAATTAAATCGATGTATAGTAGAGCCGTTCTAATCTACTTAATATCGGAGATATCCGATGGCATCAAGAGTTAATAAGCAGATTTAGCTCTTGAACAATGTATGTTTAAATAAACGAAATTGCATTAACTAATTGAATTGTAATATGTAGTCGAAATAAACCTATCTTTATTTTCTGCTTATAAATGTTTATTATATGTATTGTCTGTTAGCAAATCTATAGCTGGTCGCTATTCACTTTCCATAGAGACTAGAATATTTGGGGCCATTATTTCCGTAGGCCGCGAAAGTTCTGTAAAATACTATAGAATTTCATCCTGTAGTTCCCCCCCCCCCCATCACCCAAACCTTTAGAATGCTCTATAGAAAATTACACTGGTAATCTATGACATTTTGCTAAGGGCATACTTTGACTGACATCCGACTAATGCCATCGTTAAACAGATAAGGGAGCCCAACACCTCCGTTAAATATAACGGCACGTTAACGACATGTTAAAGTTAACGGGGCTTCCAGCAACAGACATTCTCTCCTTTAATGACAACGATCCGTTAACTATGTTAACGAGTCGGTGTATGGTAAGGGAGCTTTGAGCAGCCTGCCCAGGTCCACAGCCACCAGTAGAGACGTTACTGGCCACGATTACAATGACCAACAATTTACACAGCCCTGACAATACATTGCAACTCTTATAAATAACTTCAGTTTTAAGTCTTATATTAAAAATAAACACAAATAGCTGGTATATAAACCCACTGCTAACATCATTAATTGATATGGAGACGTTTTCCTTTGCAGCTGCATTTCCTTCAAAACTCAAGGCTTAGTACCCAGATCAAAATAACCTCATTACTCATTCAGAGTAAACAAACAAAATGAAATGAAATGGGGTTTAACGTGCTACTGTTCTGCTCCAAACTGGGCTAATGAAGACGGGCATACGCCATACAGTGTGCTATGAGGGAAAATTTGCCCGGGCAGCGGCACTACGGCCTACTCTTATATCGAATTCCAACTGTCAAGGGATCTTTAACGTGCACGCCAATGTGTACACGTGACCACGGTTTTTCGTCCCATCCGAACGACTAGACAGCTGTCCTTGTCAGACCCTCCGTCCTGCATCACTGACAAGGGGGAACCACGCCGGAAAATCTGGATCAACTTTCTCGGCCAATGCAGGGATCGAACACCCGACCTCCAGGCTAGTGAGCCAGCGTCTTACCCACTAAGCCACCGTATCACCCAAACAAACAAAAATAGACAAACAATATTTATAGTGGATATTTTTATTCAGAAAATTGCTTCATGGAGATTATCTGAAATAGAATGTAGATATAAAGTTGAACATTTTAAACAAAGGTTATAATATGATATGATACCTCTAAGACAGTAAGGAGGAAAACAGAGAAATGGGGATTAACGTCCACTCGACACAAACTACGTCATTTCGGGACTAACATATGGTTCAGTTTTATTTCAATAATTCGCTTGCCCGTAGGTGTCTTAGCAGTGGGAGGAAACCGGAAGACTCGGAGAAAACCCACAAGGTTGGACAGGCGATCCTACTCCCAGCCACGTACAAACGGAGAATCGAAACCACGGAAGTTGACTCAATGATAGACCTTATCTAAGACAGTAGGGGGCGTTCCTGATTACCAATATAGGTCAGATCTTAATTAGTGATTTAGTAATGTTGGTTTGTTTATTAAGTTCAGTATTGGGATTGAACGGTCGATGTCTCTACCAAGACATCGTCGATATATAGACATTTTAACCTTCAATTTGCCAGTTGTACAATTTCTATTTGCATTGTTTGGAGTTCCAATAAATGCTTTTTAAGAATACTTATTCTAAAGGAGCCAGTGTTAGTATTTTCAATAGATGTAAATAGAATCTGTTAATTTCAAATATATGTTTTTTCTTTTAAATTAAGTATATTTAGTCAATTATTTAGTTAGAATTATATTCGAATTTACATTTATTATCTTAATGCCTATTAAGAATTTTCATTTCCAATTATTATTAGTGATTCATGGATAAACATAGGTCTAGGAGAGCAAAATCATTGAATATCAGATACACCACACCTTGATGTAATTAATCGACATGTAGTTACGGAAATCAACATTCTTTATAAATTTAATTAAACCAGTTAGTATATACATGTATTATAGTTAGCTGCATCCGTGAAGGGATATTTCATGTTAAACCGTGTTGTATTTTCATGACACCATCACTTGGGGTAAAATTAACTTTATCCCACTACATATAATATAGAAGTACTCACCCTCGAATATTATTTCCTGTTGTGCAAGAACTCTGAAATATAAATGTGTATGGTTGGATATTTTATTTTCCAGGGGTCGGTTGTGTTCAAAGCTCCGTTAACTTTAAACGACTCGTTAAAATGGAATCAATGGATCGTTATCTTTAACGGAGAGAAAGTCTGTTGCTGGAAGCCCCGTTAACTTTTACATGTCATAGATTACCAGTATAATTTTCTACAGAACATTCTAGAGGGTTGGGCGACGGTGGGGAAGGGGGGGGGGCTATTCCATTTTCTATAGGATGAAATTCTACAGTATTCTACCGAATTTTGGGGGCCTGTGGGAAATAATGGCCCCCAAATAGTCTACAGTTTCTGTAGTGCAAATCCCATAATTTTTCCTACAGATTTACGCTAAAAATTCTAAAGGAAAAGATAAACTATTCTATAGGGTTTTTTTTATAGTTTTTTCTGTAGGAAATTATGTAGTTATCCTTTTGTCTTTAATCAAGTTCAGTGAACAAACTGCACAGTTGTCCCACTGTCTTCAGTTTCTTGTTAATACTAACTTCTATAAAGCTGTTATACATGTACTTGGAGGGGGGGGGGGGGTAACGGTGGCTAAGTGTGTAAGACGCTGGCACGCTCGATCCCTGCATTGGCCGAGAAAGTTCTTCCAGTCTTTCCGGCGTGGTTTCCCCTTGTCAGTGATACGGGACGGAGGGTCTGACATGAAGGTCCTGTATACACATTGGCGTGCACGTAAAAGATCCCTTGACAGTTGGAATTCGAAGAGTAGGCCGTACTGCCGCTGTCCGGGCAAAATTTCCCCCATAGCACACTGTATGGCGTATGTCCGTCTTAATTAGCCCAGTTCGGAGCAGAATAGTAAGACGTTAAACCCCATTTCATTTCATTTTAACAAACGACACGTTAGCAAGATAACGGATCGTTAAAATAACTTAGCTTTGAGCAACCGGGCCCAGATCATTAAATACTTAAATAACATAGTATGATTTAAGATTTAAGATATATGAAGTAAATATAAAAGAAATAAAGTGGGGTTTAACGTCCTGCTTTTCTGCACCAACCGGGATAATGAAGACCGGGGGGGGGGGGCATGCGTCATACAATGAGCTATGCCGGACATTTTGCCACGACGTCGCCGTTTCCGCCAACACTTCAGCGAATTCAAACTATCAAAGGTTCAGTTACGTGCATGGCAGCGTATACACAGGACCACTGGTTTTCATCCCATCCCAACGATCTGACGCTCATCCTTGGAACTTTCTCCACTAAAACCGGGACCTCCACCTTACACACTTTCAAAATTAAAAAATGTATAAAAGCAAATCGTTACAGAAAACATTGGCCAATACAAATTGCTTTGGACAGGCAATCCTACTTCTTGTCACGTTTAAGCGGGGAATCGAAATCACGCCACTTGATTCAGTGACAGACCTTGTGATTTCACGCGCACGCGTTAAAACACTTGACCCCCCCACCCCACCACACACACCTGTTTATAAAGAAAACTAATAGATTGTATACGGGGTTTCAAATATAAGAATACTTACACCATCGCACTCTTGACAAAGTACAAAGGTACACTCGAATGATAACAGTTGATCTCCTTCCACAAAAAATGTCTGAAAATAAGGACTTCTTGTTGTTCTACCAAGAGTCATGAAGCCTTTGTTACTCGGGATAATCTGACCGTCACCACAACCTGCTCTTAAAATGGCGTATCTCTTCTTCGTCTTGCCACCGATCGCAAAACACGAAACTGGTCTTAACTGGTTAAGAAGAACTGAATAAAAATAAAATGACAGGCTATAAAACAGTGTAAAAATATTTTTAGAACATTTAACCTTCTTGTTGATTTAACGTCCGATTTTTCCTCTCCAATCGGGCAAATGGAGACGGGCATATCCATGCAGTGTGCGGAGGGCATTCTTATTATCCGGGTTTATTTCACGCGCATGCCGACTTGTACTTGGGGTGTTGATGTTATGTCACATTATAACGCTCAGACACTATTCCTTGCCATGTCCCCTTGTCCGACATTACTGATGAGGGGGATGGTAAAAGTCATTTTAGTTACATAGAGTTAACTGGGTATTATGTACCTCCGGGCACTAGATAACAGATGCCAAAATTTTGAGGCTAAAGTAATTCTCAATTCTTGTGAAATAATCTTACAACAATACTTCTGTAACATGTCTTGTATTTGTGTTATAAGAGTTGAAATCAACAAACTATACGGTCTCAATCTCTAGTAAATAATCGACGACCAACTTACTTTTTCCTTCTGTTCGGGCAAACAAACTCAAAGTTTTGTCTATTGGTACAGCTCCAATTACATTTCTATTCTTGACATCCTGTAGATAAAGACTTATAGAGCTTTTCTTTTCGCGTGTACCAACGTTTATCAACATCTCTTGAGGTCTTATAAGTCTGAAATAATATATTTCGAACTATATAATACTATAGGGCCTATATAATGTACAGATTACCTAAGTTCTGTAAAAGATGCCCTGGTTAATGTATTGAAGTCGTTAGCTAGTACCATCGGACAATGACATATGCTGCTAATCCAAATATGACAATCCCATGCGCTAGAAACGTGGTTAGCCGGCCTCCTGGGTGCCCATGTAAGTACACTGTATAGAAATACAGGGTAGCGTCTGTACAGCTGACTAATCCGATAAAGGAAGTACCTGGTCAATTTCCCGGGGCTCAATACATGACTCATGCACGTATCCTCCTTATATAATAACAGCCGGGTTTACTTTCCCTTCAGACATCATTGAGATATCCTAGAGAAGATATCATTCGGAGTTCCCAGGGGAACATCATACCCACAGCCTCCTCGGCCTAGAGACTGGGAAATAATCACCATTCGGACATCATTTAGACACCACTTGGAATAGACCGCCCCGTTAAGTCGTAGGAGAGCCATATCATGTTGTGGGGTTCCGCCAGTACACTTGTTCTACGAAAAGGTGAAGTCGAGAGGTAGAGGGAATGATGTTAATGGTAATCTATGTTTGTAAACACAAGCTGGGGATTGAGAACTTATATTTAGCTTATATTTAATGTCATAGCTGTGTGTGTAGTTTCATGTATTATGGATATTATAAAGACATAAAAACATAGTTAACGTAAAAAGTGTTTCAGAGTTAATTGATCATATGCACAACGTGAACGTCCTGACTTGATAAGTGTCACCGGCCGTATACACAACGTGGAGGTAATTCATAATTCATCTATTTAACGACACCGTAGTGTCACAATACAAATTATAAAGATATGGCGAATAATGAGACTCAAAATTGCCAGGACGGAGCTGGTGATCCGGGTCAATCAATATATCTAAAATTTTGGCGCCGAAAAGCAACAATCGTCCAAAATACAAGACCTGTCTAATGTCATTAATCAAGGTATTTTTTAAAATATATATGCAATAAACATGTCTAAAATATCAAAGTAAAACACATTATTTATAAACGGATGCTACTCTAAAAAAATTACAACACATTTTCGCATAAACCACCCAGAATTATTCCCATATAGACTATCTTAGAATTCATAACTATAAGCAGACCAAAACAGACAACTTGATAAGACAATAAGGTTATGGTCTACGAACCCAGTTCAGAATTAGAATCCGACTTTGTAGCTTTTTTAAAATAACAAGGACACACAGGCTTTTGAAATTAAATTAAAATAAAGCTCTGGTTGACCTACACGACCCCTGATGTCACCTACACAAACTAATCGGATCATTTCGTAGGGGAGACCATTGGAAGTACAGAAGAAACGAAACGAAATTTAGATTTCTGAAATGAAATGGGGTTTAATGTCCTACTGTTCTGCTCCGACTGGTCTAATGAATACGGGAATACACCATACAGTGGACTATCAGGAAGAGTTTGAAGTGGACAGCGGCACTACGGCCGATTCTTATTTCGAATTCAAACATGCATGCCAATGTGTGCACGGATATCGGTTTTCCGTCCCACCCGACGCAGGGAGTGGACACGGGACCTCCGGATTAGCGAACCAACGTCCCATTCAAAGTTGTATTTTAATCGTATTGAATCTCTATTTTTCAGTGACGAGGAATACAATAGCCATATAATGTCACATGTACTTACCCCTCAGTAAGTTTATTTTGTGGTGCCTTAATACTGCTCTTAGAATTAAATGTACATGATACAGTATAGACTTCTTCATTAGAAACTAAACCAGCATCAGTTGATCCATACATAATAGTTATGTCAAGTTTATATACACCACGAACGTTCTGAAGAAAACAGCATAACAGATTGTATTATAGGTTTATAAACTTAGTAAAAAAAAAATGAAATGAAACGGGGTTTAACGTCCTACTGTTTTGCTCCTAAACTGGGCTAATGAAGACGGGCATACGCCATACAGTGTGCTTTGAGGGAAATTTTGCCCTGACAGAGGCGCTGCGGCCTACACTTATATCGGATTCCAACTGCCAAGGGATCTTTTACGTGTACGCCAATGTGTACACGGGACCTCGGATTTTCGTCCCTTCCGAACGACTAGACAGCTGTCCTTGTCAGGCCCTCCGTTCTGCATCAGTTACAAGGGGAAACCACGCCGGAAAATCTGGATGAACTTTCTCGGCCAATGCAGGGATCGAACACCCGACCTAAAGGCTAGCGAGCCAGCGTCTTACCCACCTAGCCACGTGATCCCGCTAGTAAATAAAGGATAAGTAATTGCATCAATTGTTGTAACAAGCTGATTTGGGTATATTTAGGAAATAAAGGATAAGTTGTGTCAGTTCTTCTATAAAAGGGTACCAATACTGTCGCCTGTCCAAACTCGTGGTTTATCTTCCGGTGCAACCACTGCAAATAATTAAAATAAAACTGAATAGTTTCGCCTGAATGACCTAAATTACGTTGTGTGGGCGTTAAACCCTCATTTCTCTGTGCGACACCTGTAGTTAATGGAGATTAAAATAGTAAATTCGGCTATAAACATGATCATATATACATACTGTAAATGTACACCCTTTCCTTAAAACACTATAACTACCAATAAGTTTATAGTTAGCAGCATCAATTCGTGTAAAATTCTGATCGCCCATTGCACACTTAGCTACGGCTCGTATATCTAAATCTGATAAGATGTTGATTACTGGTTGAGACCGTGTAGATGTTCCACATTGCTGTTTCACTAAATAAAAATATTAAAATGTTAACCTATTTGACAAAACTTAATCAAAACCAAAGATTGGTTATTATGCATAACTATTTAACTTTCATTTTATAGTAGTCCATTTGAAAGTTAATACACATAATCCGAAATAGGTCTCCTATTAAAGATTGAAGAATGGTGCAGTTTCACAAAAGTTCGTAACTTTAAGAAAAAAAACTACGTTAAGAAAAACTTACGAAAAAGATACGAATTATTTACGCCGGTTTCACAAAGGCCGGCGTAAGTTTTTTCTTAACTTTTTCTCGTATCTTTTTTCGTAAATACGTCACGAATGGTCGTGACGTCATGTTGCGTCACTTCATTCACACTTCTGTAAACATTCCCACGGGATGAATGTTGACAATGTCGGCATTATAGCCGTTATGTTTGATTTGAAACATAAACGACGAAATGATATATTCCTTATATATACGCTAAGATTTAGCGGTGTATTTATGAATAAAATGCTATTTTCATGCCTGTTTACTTGTTTTTGTTTGCTACGTCATAGCGCGTGACATAGTACCATACGTCGTCTGTAAGTCTGTCAAAAGCCGAAATGGAACCAAAAAGGCGAAAACAAAATTGGAACCCGGCAGCTCTCGGTGTTTTAATTGAGGGGGTTGAACAGAATTATGGGATTCTGAAAGGAAAATTAAGCAGCAGTTTGACTAGTTCATCAAAAGACGGAGTATGGCAGGGGCGGCTCTAGGAATTTTGAAAAGGGGGGGGGCGCCGCAAAATGGGGGCACTGACCGCGGAGACGGGGCACGTCGCTGAGAGGGGATTTTTATTTGGGGGGGGATACCAAGAAAATTATCCGTCATTTCCTTGCATCTGTAGCCATTCCAAGAGCTATTTGGCTGATATTTTCGTCTATGTAAACGTTCGGAAATCGTTGAAAAATAGCCTTAAAATCGAGCAAAAAAGCCAGTTGAACATGCGACTCGAAAGTTGTCAAGGCGAGCGAGGCATTATGATGGGAAAAAAAGACGAATCTATTCCCTAGCCACTTCACTATTTAAGCCTTGTAACTTGTACTTTGTACTGTCCACACATGAAACAATGCTACATCAAGTTGCACTCATGTGCGTCGGTGATGGGCATGAGTGTATACGCCGCCGATTCCACCAGATGTCTGTCTATAGCCACTCTATAGGATTAGGGCACAGTCAGCTAAACAACAAGAATTCGTTTGAAGGTGAAAGCATTAATTAGACCAGACTGGTGTGTTTGAATCGATGGTTTGAGTCATTTGGGATCCCTGCAACGGGTTGGGAACGGACATATTTGGGTCTGAGAAAGGGCACTTTAAGCAGTAAAAAAGGGCACTGTCGAAAATTAAGGGGGGGGGGGCGCCCCTTGCGCCCCCCTTAAATCCGCCTCTGAAGACACTTGTAAATCTGAAATTTATATTTTTATTCTTTTCGTATCGGTATAATTTATAAATCATATGTTTTGAAATCCTGCTTGTCCCAAATCTTGGTTTAATAATCTGAAATTTAGTTTTTTAATTTTTTGGATTATATGGCGCGATTTCAAATCCCGCTTATCCCAAATGTTGGTTTAATAAAAACTCCGCATTGTCAGGATATGACCCGTTGGACATTGAGATGGGGGGGGGGGCACATAAGGGAACACAGCTGCTTCTCTACCTACTGCAGTGAACTATGTAATTTTACGACGAGTCCCCTTATCGCTTTCCCCTTATCGCGTGCCATGTTGAAGCTTAAAGTTAAAACAAGACGATAATTCGTACGTTTACCTGAGTTTAGAATCAGCTGTTGCTTGGAACATTAATGGAATGAAACCCTTTCCTGCAGACGAACAGCGGCTCATTTTCTCCCGATGGTGCTATGATGGCAACTTGTGTACCATCAATCGTTCCCACTACATTTGGGAAGCCTGTTATTTGGTGAAAACCTTCCTTTGTAGAATTGATATCTTCCATGGAATAGGGGAAATGTATTGATAATTTATCGTCAACACAGGTTGTTATTGCTCGTGAAACACGATAAATTACTCTAGACACTGATGGTACACTCACCCCATGTGCATCGGCAATGAGTTTTTGGAAGCTACCTGTGGCATAGTATCGTAATGCAATCAGGACTTGTACAGGTGATGACAAGGATTTCGATCGGTAAGTTGCGGTTTCGGTATCATCATTAATACAGCTAATAACATGTAATATACTGGTCCGATCAAGTCTGTACCGCGAAATTAACTCTTCGTCCGTATGGGTGTCGAGAGGGTTTAATCTATCCCTGAATATTCTCTCTCGCCGAAGTTGCCGATCCGCATAAAGTAACAAGGCGGCCATTTTGTCAAAGATACGAAAAAAATTCCAACTTACGACAAGGTGAGAGTTCCCGTAGACTTTACGATAAAAGTTACGAATTTCGTAAGTTAAGAATTTTAGTGAAACGCGATTTTTACGTAAGTTTACGTTACGATAAACTTAAGCAAATTTTTCATCGTAAGCTGCTTTGTGAAACTGCCCTGGCCAATACATACGCTTGTTAGAAATAATGCATAACTTAAACGAAAACATTTACCAATCCAGAATAGAGATGCAAGGGGTTTGCATAAACATTTTTTTTTAAGACTCAACACCAATTGGGGAAATTCGGTAGGACCATTATGTTTTTTAAAATAAAGAACTTCCCAGAGTACAAATACGTGGCCATAGGCCGCAAATGGGAAGATTGTAATATCATATTCCAATATACAGGACAGGGGCAAGCATCTAGAGAACATGCGACTTTAGATGTAAATTTAACCTGCTTTTAAAATAACATTTCTTTTAGAGGAAAACACTACATGTATATCATGCAGTTCGGATCGAATGGCTTAAAATGTAGGCTATAGACTGCAATCTATACTTACCATCTAAAATGTATCCCTCAGGAATTTCCAATCCATTTACCGTATACTAAAGAATAACAATTTCAAGTCTAATGAAACAAATTTTAGCCATTTTAATCTAATGTTATTAGAAAGTAGAGCAACTTTCTGAATAGAGATCAAAGATAAACCAGTTCTAGAACTGTCTATAAGGATTCCCAATAATTAACTCATAGCATTCCTAGTCACACTGACAACAAAACGGAATTGTTACTCAATTTCTCCAGACATTCTGGATTGAATAAAGATTTAACTTTTGGTTTTTATTCTTTCAATGAAATGGAGTTTTGACGTCCTACTTTTCTAGACAGACTGTGCTTAGGAAGAAGAGCATTTTGTTCGTACAGTCACTCCACGGTCTACTCTTTTTTCGAATTCCGAATGTTAAGGGTTATTTTACATGCACGCAAATGTATACAGGGGGACTCGGGTGTTTCGTCCCTTCCCATATACTAGACATTGTTCATTGCCAGGCTCTCCACCCTGTACAGCTGGCGTGAACCCGAGACTTCCTGCTTAGCGAGCCCGCGTCTTACTCACTAAACCACCGCAGTTCATATACTTTCGATATCAGTGCAGTGGTGACAAATAAGCAATATTTTAAGCTATATCCATATTCCATTTCTGTTCAACATAATAAAAGGACTTCAAAATACTGCACCAATAGAAAATGGCGAGTGTAATCCGTGTAGTGAAGACTGGGGTACGATTGGCTGACATATAAGTTGTATTCTGGCTACAATTATGCATGCAAAATTGTAGATATTGTTTGTACCGACATTGTAAAACAAAAATCTAATTACCGAGATTAACACAGTAACAGCGAGCGATAAAACTTTTACAACCATCTTGATACCAGAGACGTGGCGATGGGATATCAAACTGTTCAAAGCATTGTGGTCGATAGCAGTGAACAGGTTCACCTTTCCACAAACATCATTCGAATAGCTCAAGTAAAACCTGGTGATCAAAAAAACATGCGCGAGCTATCACACGAGGGTTCGTCACGTGAGGTGTGTCAGAGAGAAATGGCGTTTAACGTCTACTCGACATAAACTAGGTCATTTCGGGACCAACACATGGTTCAATTTTATGTCAACAATTCGCTTGCAGATAGGGGTCTTTAGCAGTGAGGGAAACCGGAGGTAGGACAGGCGACCCTACTCCTTGCCACGTACAACCGGGGAATCGAAACCAAGCCAGTTGACTCAATGACAGATCTTATGATACGACGCGCACGCGCTAACCATTCGCCCCCCCCCCCCCACACACACACATACACACACACGTGAGGTGTTGGTCTGGTAATAAATAAGAAAACAAGAATCCAATAACTTTGAATATGTATTGATCTGTGGTTCTACTATAAATTTATTTCTTGTTCTAATCGTCCTTAAACTTTCTTCAGTCACTCATAGTTATAATATTCTCTCAGATGCTGAAAGGGTAAGTTCGTGGGTGGGATCCCGTCTAATGATCGCTGAAAAATAAAATATATTGAATGTCCGAGTATGGCATTGTAAAAATCTATTCCACAAAACATGACATTATATCCCATTTCATTTGATTTTCATACAAAAAAGTTGTAAGCGTACCAGTGTGTTATTTTAATGCACTGCAAGTATAATCGAACTCGCCGTATAAATGAATACACACGCACGTGCATTTGAAGGAAGGTATAAAAGGGCGCTTCGTTACGCTTCTGGCGTTTGAGTTTGATACAGGATCAGGAAAACAGGTAGGTTAGGTAGCAATTTTAATACGTACTTTTTTCAACTGATTTGTTTTTTCTGCTTTATTACCTTAACGTTCGTAATCTGGTGTTGTTCCTCTTTTGACATAATTAACCGTCCCCAAGTTTACCTGTTTCTAGTTTTAAGGTTTGTCCTACAAGAATGGCACAGTGTAATCGTTTCCACAGCATTCAGTACAAGTCCATTTTTGGCTTTAATATAAACTCACTATTTGCTTTCGCCACCATGATCTTTATCCTGATTTTAGGTAGATCGGAGGTATCGGACCACTATCACGAATAAAAATGAACCTGAATACACTAAATATTTATATTATGCATTTGCAATGCACCCTCCTACACGGAAAGGGGAGACTACTCCACATAGCCCCACATGTACAATTTTGTATTTCGCGAAACCTTATTTTGGCGAAAATAGGCACATAGATTTCTAAATTATAAAACGGGACGTAAACTAAATTTATTTCCGGTGTAAATGAGTTTTAAGTGTGAGAAGACGCCTATGATCGTATAATAGTGATTTGACAACCTATTGAGCAAAAGACCTAGAAATAGGTTTTGACTTTCTTAGAAAATATGTAATTGTAACTTTAACTAATCGGCTACCTACTTTGTTAGGGAAGTTATTTTATCAGAACTTTTTATGTATTTCAGAATGGCTCTATTGGTTCTATCGTTGACTATTCTGTCATTGGTATGTATTGTGTAAGGCCTACGTACATGTGAACTAAATCGGCTGTTTATCTGTGACCACAATCCAGCCAAACGGGTGGTCTGGACCGGATTAAGACTCGCAAAGGCCCTAAGCAGAAGATTGGTGCCACATGTTATTTCAAATTATCTTGATAAAGATGTTGTCGGCTTTTATTTGAATGTCTCTATGGAGTGAAATGAGACTACTGGGGATATCGAGGATGGTTTGTAGGCGATATATTGTGCCAGCATATCGCTGTTATTCGTAGGTGAATGACCGTCCTCCTTTTCTTCACTTAACCGACAAGAGAAATTGATTGTAAGAAAGCGTACATTTTATTTTAGGCTATGACATCTGCCATGGATATTCCTGCAGGATACATCCTGGATGGTAAGCTCTTCTCTAATATCTTAATTGGACTGGTCGTAATGCACGAAAAGATAAATGCAGAGCTCGGGATAAAAATGATCACATCGGAAAAAAGGACAACATTCCAAACTAAAATCGAAATGGTGATATTGGAGACGTGGCTGTTCACTCCAAATAGAACGATTTTGTTTTATATCGTGCCCGGGACTCGATAGCGGTCATAAATTGCTTTATTATAGACTGATTGACTACTTAAATCCACATCCATCATACTTAGGTTTTAAATTTGTTCTATAGTTACAGTTTAAGATTTTTTTTTTTTACTGCGATCTTGTCCCAGGTTTAACCACAGTTGAGATACAGATTTAGTAATTTGCAAGTTTTACCTGGTCCCTGTATAAATGGATATACTAACTACTTTAAATGTGGATCTGGGGTAGGGAGGGTTTTATTTGCGGTTTCGTAAAATAATTGTTGATAACGGTACTTTTCCATTTATATGGAAATTTGCTAGTTATGGTCCATGGGTGACACGAACAGGACAATATTGACACCAATACACAGGTACTCCCCACCTACTTCAAAACTATTGCAATTTTGCGAGTCAAATAGTCCCCGCCCCCTTGATATTTTATTTTTCGACAATTGGGTCAAATTGAACATTTTACTTACTATCGAAGTAAAGTTTACCTTGCTACATTTTGGTTATTGGGTAAAATATTTCAGTTAAACCAGTTTGTGGAAGCTCTGTCAGAGCTAGACCTATTGTAAAAATCTTGACAGACTTAAATATTCGAGCTGTAGCTAGATGTGCTAATGGAGATCTGAATTTTACCAAATATGATGCGGCTAATTATGAACTTGTTGGTAGTTATGTACATAGTTCCAGAGGATGTCTGTTTACAGTAAGTATATCTGATGGATTATTCGGATCCAGGCATTTTTGCAAAGGGGTTTGCCAGGTTCCTAAGAATTTATCTTTGGGGGGAGGTCAGGTGGTAAAGCCGACCTTGTATATTTGAGAAGTGCATGATCTCTATCATGTTGGCATATCTTGGATAAGTAACCACTTTTGATAAGACCCAGAAACTGGGATTTTTCATAAAACGTACTACACTTGCTGTGGTTTCAGTTCTGGATTTTTAACACCCCCACACCCCCTGGATCCGCACTACTTCAGTTTATTTTGAGAACCAATAAATCTAATAAACGTGTTTTCTTTTTTAGAATCACAAAGGAACATATAAATTAGATGTAGCTATAATATATGGTTTACCAGGATCTGGTTTATTATCTAATGAACAAGTTTATACTGTATCATGTTCTTTCAATTCTAAAGCTAAAATCTCGGCTTCTCGTCATCAAGTAGTCGGAGGGTAAGCTGCTTACTTTAACATCGACTAACAATAGTATGCCAAATATTTACTTCAGTTGTGGTCAGCGCAAATTTTTACATGTCCATATTGTCACGTGGACGTATACTGTCGTCGCCCTCGTCCGTCCATAATTTGTTTTTGAGTCAAAATTTGACAAACTTGAATATGGTTCACCTGCAACAAATCTACGGTCGTTTCGATATTGGCATGTATCGGACTGTAACTTCCTGGATTATGGCCCCTGATTGTACGGAAAAATCACTTTATCTTGTGCACCCTTCTGGAGGTCGCGATTTCTCCAGATTTTCAAAAAATATTAAATATATCGTTACACCCTGATAATCGAGATTGAATTTCTTAAATCGGAAAGAACGGACGCTCCTTGAACGCAAATAGTGTGAAAGTACATAAATACAATACGAAGATGTGGGGTCACAATGTGTCCGATTTTCATTAAACTTTAAATAGGTTTATATCCCACAGATCAAGGTTCCTTTTGATATTCGCGTATTTCGGGCCATAACTTACTGGATTATGGCCCCTGATTGTTCGAAAAATCGAGTTCTTTTTACCATTGCCATCTCTTGCAAAATGTGGGCGTATCTGGCACGACAACCGTTGGTTCGACTACTGCGAAACTATACTATTCAAAAAAAGTAGGGGATATTTGATTTTGGGGGCATAATACTAAAATATGCAAATGACTACGAAAAAAGTCACTATAGAACCTAACAGAAGAAACATTTCCAGTTACATGTGACGCCCAAACGCACCAATAGCTACCGCATGGAATGCAGGTGATGCTTGGGATCATCATGGGGGTCCAACCCAAGATTTGCACGACTCTGACTTTGAATGTTACAGTCATTGTGGCATTGAATTCCAGGGTGGAAACATCAGTTTAATTGTTTTAGTGACCAGAAAACAAATTTTGATATGCGTCGGCTTACCCAAAATGAAAGGTTACGTGCCCTTGGCATGCTACAGATCGGCACAACACAGGCGGTTGTGGCGCGGACGATGAATGTTTCTCAGTCTGTCATAAGCAGGCTATGGTCCAGACACCGTGATACACAATCTGTACAGGACAGACCACGCTCAGGTCGACCAAGGGCGACAACTCAAGCCCAGGATCGATTTATCCGTACCTTGGCCTTGAGAAATCGTGTCATCAAAGCAAATCAGATCAGCGCTCGTCTTCAAACACACTGGTGTGAGAGTGAGTGGCCAGACGATTCGGAATCAACTGCATAGGGGTCACCTTCGCGCCCGACGTCCTCGCGTGATCCCTTGTTTGAGAGATCATCACATTCAGGCAAGACGTCGTTGGTGTAGGGATCGTCAACACTGGGATAATCGACGCTGGAGCAATGTGATGTTTTCAGATGAGTCAAGGTTCACTGTTGATTTTTTGGACAGACGTAGGAGGGTGTGGCGTCGTCGAAACGAGCGCTTCCAAGACGTTAACGTCATCAGACATGATCGATTTGGGGGTGGTTCTGTTATGGTGTGGGGAGGCATCACTGTTGCTGGAAGAACGGCTTTACATGTTGTTGCAGGGCGTGTTACAGGCCAGTACTACCGGGACAACATCTTGGCAGTCCATGTTGTGCCGTTCGCACGACGTCATGGCCGCCGTTTCCAGGATGACAACGCAAGATGTCACAGGGCCAGGATCGTTACAGGTTACCTCCAACAACAGAACATCACCGCATTACCTTGGCCAGCACTGAGTCCCGACCTCTCCCCCATCGAGCATGTCTGGGACATGCTTGGACAGAGGTTACGTCAACGTCAACAACGTCTTGCCAATGTCCAAGAACTTGCTGCTGCGTTGCAACAGGAATGGGACAATCTGGACCAAAATGACCTTAGACGTCTCATTAGGAGTATGCCACGTCGGATCAATGCTTGTTTGGCAAACAGAGGAGAATTTACCCGTTACTGACTTGGTTGTGATGCTGTGGTAACTTTGCTGTTTGACCCCGGGTATCATTTTACCCTTTTAATGGTCAGTCTGTGCCTTACTTAGTCTAACGATCATTTGGAATAAATCGATGAATGTGAACTTCATTTTGTCATTTGTTTCTTCGTCAGTTTCATTAGGTGACTTTATTAACACTTAAAAATCAAATATCCCCTACTTTTTTTGAATAGTATAGTTGATAGATTTGTAGAATTGCACGTGCCATGGCTATTTATAGTATCATACTGTCAGAAAGTTGGCCTCGACACTGCGAATGTGCACGCTTCAGTGGTAGTCTCGAACTATCAGCGGTTGACTGTATTTCTGTAGGTGCATGGGTCACCCTACTTTAATATATTGTAGAATTTTATGTAGTTATTCGTGTTGAATAAATATAATGTCAAATTTAGTCATCTAAGATCTTTGTTGCAACGGCAATAACGATATCGTTCATCCTGACAATACCAAAACTAGACCTTGTTTTTTAAGTATACCCTCCAAAAAAAATATACCCTCGCTCTACCATTGCCTTGCAACAAACCACACTCGTCGCTGAACCAAACTATTCTCCAGTGTGGCAATGGCCTGTGTTGAACCCATTTGAATTCGGATTTGACTGTCGGCGTTTTTCAAAACGGGACGTCTAGCTTGTAATCCGGTTTTACGTAGGCGTTTATGAACTAGTCTGAGATCCTACGCCGTCCAAGAATTTCTAATGCAGAAGAGGTCGCTGTTAACGGTTTCCGCAAATGACGTAACTGGATATGTTCTCGGGCAGTTGGGGGGTCACTCATGTTTGGCCCGAGCTTGGGTGGTCACGTGTTGAACTTCTCTATCAGTACCTATCCCAAAGGCAAGAAATGGTACTTCGGGGTGGGCGGGGGGGGGGGGAACATTCAACTGCCTGGCTTTCTGGAATTCACCTGCTTCTAACCGGACGATTTCAAAAGCCTAGATTTGGGTTTCATTCGAAAATCTTGCGAAGTTGGAACTCGTGTATCCTTGATTTTGTCGAGGCGAAATCAAATTTCTGCAAAAAGTGACTTGTCACAATTTATGACCCTTTATTTAAAACTAATGGATTTTTTTTATCCGTACATAATGACATTAATAAAATAAAAAAAAACAAACATTTATTGAAACGACGATCCCGTTCAAATAAAAAGAATGGGCTTTTGAAGAAGCAACTGAGTAGTTGCTAGGATGTCTTACCAGATCAAATAACACGTAAAGAGGGTAAAGATTTTTTTCGCTGCTTTCAGTTTGGTGTCTCCCCATGAAAAGTTATATAACGTAGGAACATCTGTATCCAGTTCGTATATTACATTAAATGTACAAGATATAAGACGTAATACTATATCTACTAGTATACCTATTGATAAAGTTATTACCTTATATGCTGTATCTCTAGGCACACGTAAGTATTTATATATAAGTAACCTCGACAATCACATAGTGTATTTGAAATGTTCGTTTACATTTGTTACCGTGACACACAATAGAACAATTCGCAAAATATTTCAATACACCTAACTATAACGACAGTTCGGTAGCTTTCTCAATACCTGTAATGTATATATATTTGTAGATTCAACAATACGATTTGTTCCCAGTTGTTGGTGACAGTCGCTGATATGTTTAACTGCCGCTGTGGCCGAAATGCAATTACATTTACTAACATATTTTCAATGTCTATTTTACAGTTAAAGAAATCGGACTTAGGGCCGTGTCTTGTTATGGTATTGGTGCCACCAACAAAAAGAGATACGCCATTTTGAGAGCTGGTTGTGGTGACGGTCAAGTTATACCTCACAATACAGGTTTTATAACTAATGGTAGAACGACAAGAAGTCCCTACTTTAAATCTTTCTATGTTGAAGGTGATAAACTTGTATCGTATGAATGTACTTTTCAACTATGTACAGGCAGCTGCAATGGGGTAAGTAAACAATATTTTATTTCCCGCAATGGGTAGTGGGCTGGGAATATAGTCTTATTAGGCACTAACCTTTCAAAATATATTTTTCCTGTCGAAATTTCCGTTGTCTAGGCATTCTCCCTACCTTTCATTAAACCCATTTCTTTCACAAATGACTAAATCCTCCCAATTCTTGCGAAAGTGCGCTAATTGGAATTGCTCAAATGGTCTTAATGCTGTATATCAATGGATTTATAAGGGCGTTGCCATGTCTACCTGTAACTTCACAATTTATATTTTTAAAACATGCTCCCCATAAATTTCGTATGATCTTTAAATTGACATCTAAAACTACGATTTTAATATAGCCACATCTCTTGTGGTTTTTAAAGATTAATTTTGAAATAGGCTTAAAAATGACCAAATTTTTCGTCATAAATCTAAAAGTTCTCAGTCTTAAATTTTTGGCATGCAAATAGCTAAGCTAGTGGTTAATAAAATTACGCGAGTTATTTTTCATGCCACAATTTCAGAAAATCAAAAGTTCGTTATGTAAACTGGTCTGAAATAAAATCTTATTTGATATATCAAAATTCGTCCCGTAGAAATGTTCCAGATCTAAGCTTCAATTTGACGCGAAGTTTGTTAAAATCGGGTTTTGAGGTTTACAAAAGTCCTTAGAATCGTGACTTATTCGTGTAATAACAATGAGTAGACTTCGCTAATCCTGTCGTGTCCCACAAAATAGAAAACATCGAGCCGGTTTTTCGTTATCGGCAGCTGTCAAAAAGACTGGTTATTGAGATCGAAGGAATTCCCTAGCCTAGTTGTGTACCAAAATGAGGCTACAGAAGCGTTTTCTATGCTGAAAGACGAGCTACTATATTTACCGTGACGTTGGAAACAAATTTCGGATACTATTTTAAGATCAACCGTCAGGGATTCCCCCGTCTATCTTGACCTATCCGGTGATCGTGTCTCTGACCCCTTTTCTTTAGGAGGAAAAGGAGACGGGTACTAAAGCGTCGCCGAGAGTTTGAAAACTTAGTGCGAATCTTAAGACATGGCAACGCCCTTAAAGCCAGATCTAGAGCACCTTGTTTTCTGGTAACTTCGACTTGACATCAGTTTTGTGGACGATATCTGTCGGTGGTAGTGTATCCAGTGTATTACGATTGAAATGGACTGACATTTTGCATACGTTCAATTGTGTAATGCCGTGATGAGGCGGCCCACGAAGTCATAAGCTCTATTAAAAGTAACTTGCCGCAGCGAATGTTCACTCAAAGTTCTACAGGCTAGACATGAGAATCGCGGGTATGTTCTATGAACTTACAAATAGCCACCGAACATGAAATATTTCTACACAAACTCTTACAGCCGAAAAATCTATGCTGAATAACTGTTACACAGCAGCTTTATAAAATGACTTTTTGTGTGCTTAATAACTAGACTGACTTTTGGTTTAATACAATTAATCTCTCTAAAATAAGTAACAGTAACATCTTGTTACAACAGATACTAGTACTTTACTTTTTCAAGGTTCTTGAAACATCGTGGGTTGCCCAACATGCGTGTTTCTAAATTGTTTTAGCTTTAATTTTTGTATAAATTAGTCTAATTATACATGCTAATCATTCTTTGACATTGTTTTAATTCAAGGGTGGTATTTCCCGATTTTTAATCCAGATTAATTTCCAAATGTCAACCCCTCGGATAATTTTAAAAGGTAGACAAGATGCTAAAATCACATTTGTAACATATTTATTTTTTCAGAGCTCGTGTTCAGTTGGTAAAAACCTCGTAAAAGGGTAAGTCAATATATCTTTTACCAGAATTTAAATTGAGGCTCCTTTACGGATTGATAGACAAAGTGTTCACAAAACCTTTGAAACTCGACAAAATTATTTCAAAGCTTTTGAAATTCAACATACAAGTTGTACAATAATGGATAAACTGCTATCGATGGCCATCTTGTTCAGAGGCGACTGCTGTGGGGCTCGGATTTTATCCGCTAGATAAAAGATGTGATCGAATAGAAGTAAATTGCCCCACCACTACACATAATACAGCCTGCTGTGCGTAAATGTAGCAATATTCGCATTCAATAACCCGATATAAAACTGCTATATGCTTTTAAGGTCACTTTATTACACAATATAAATTTCATTTTTGCAGGTGAAGCCTCGAAAAACTGAATTTAATTAATAAAATTCTTAAATTATATTGACTTATTTATTATGTACTCATCAGGGGCTTAGTGGAGGGATTGCAATGACTAGCTTTGCATCAGGTTTTTAGTATTTTGCACCTGGTAAAAATTGTGCTGCTTCAATGCCATTTCAGCATTATCATAATGCCACTGTCAAACATACTGTGGGTCAGATACTACTTATCGACTCTAGCATGTTCCACCAGCCCAATACTACCCAGCAACACGGACGCCCCCCCCCCACACATAAATTGTGGCCCGGACGGGATCTTGTTCCCCATGGATCACCATGGCCTTTGTACTCGTATATTGCCTGAAATTGGTCATTCTAATGTGTTCATGATTGACAAATTGGTCAATTAAATCCGATTGCGTATCTAAGTGCAGATGACCTCTGCTGTAAATTGAATTGTCTTCCCTTATTTTCAAACTTTACATGTACAATGGCCGATTTTAAACGTGCATGAGAGGTGTTAATGTTTAAGCATTTCGACTGGCCTATTTCGACCTGCAGTCTACTGATCTACTCACCACGTACAAGCGGGGGAATCGCATAACGCCACTACTTGATGGCGGGCCTCCTGATCTAATGCAGTCGATGGGATGGTAACACCAGAAGGTTAGACCTGAAACTGTTATACGCTTAATCGTATACGATTATTTGAATCGAATGTGTTATCATCTGGACATCTTATAATTCAATTTTCAGTATAGGGATATCCTGTCTGCATATTCCTGAAGCAATTGCCCGAGAATCCCTCTGGCCACTGCTGGATTGGCCTCTGATACTTGAGGTAAGTCGCTGTCTATTCGTTAATCTGGTCTTCCCTAAAACTATGGACACTTAAGGTATTAAAACGGCGAAGGTATTAGTTTCGAAACGGTATTGTTTACATTGTATCCGTGTTGGCATCTTATGTAGCGAAATTACATGTACTTTTTCAGCAATATTCTGCTATGCACAAGTTAATTCATCATAATAAAATGAGTCGTGATGAAACATTATTTGGATCTGTTTAAAGCGTAATGATATTGTTACGAAGTTGGCTATTGTCTGTTAATTGGACTACTGACCAGCGATAATTTGGAACAAATTTGCAGTGTTAAGTGGGATTGTCTCTAATCCAACACTGCCATGAGTATGGTCCCTTAACATTCTCTTGGACTATAGAAGCTGTTAACGGGTTTCAAATCGTTTACAGATATTGGGCGTTCCTAGACCATACATGACCGAATTAACCCACGGTTTCTCGAAAACTTTGCGCCTTGTACAAGCTACGGTTTTTTCTTTTTCCATATTTGAGAAGCATTTGATCTACGAAAATTGTCCTCGGGTTCTTTTTGATTACGCGTCTCGCGACATTTTAATACAATTAAAATACAGATCTATATTTCGTTTTTATACTTTGATGGCCTACACTACTTGAATATCTGACAAGATGCACTCGAAGGTCGGGTTGGGTCGGGTCGTACGAGCGGCTTTTTACCTTATGATTAATCGGCGTTCACATTGCTAGTGGTTTACCCACAGTTCACCATAACGGACAGTTTCATTGGCTTATCCCCCACTTCAACCAAATGCAATATACTCTTAAAATGCAAATCATGGACACTTAACATGTTTTGTATGTTCACAGATGAAGAACTTATCGCCCCAACAGAACCACTGAGCTGCACATCCGATACGCAATAGCGCCATACACGTGGGAGGGGTTCATTGTCAAATTTGACACTTCAAGGAAGGGTTGATAACTGTCGCGTGCTGGTTTATCTATCCATCTTAACATTCCTATCGGTTCTTGCATAATATTTACTTTTTAGCGTATCTTTGCTTTAGTGTGTTACGTTTATTTTCACCAGGAGAAGTGTACGTCAACCGACAACACTGCAAGAATTGGCCGTGGCAGTGCAAGGGGAGTGGGTCAGATTGTCCCAAATCTTGATTGGATCGTTGATTAAGAGCTTGCCACGACGAATTGCTGAATGTCTGAGGATTGGTGGAGCAATTACTAATTAAGACAAATCAGTCCATTTTCACTTTTGACGGTGTGTCTCTTTGCCGCCCATTTGAACTGTCCAAGTCTAGGCAATTGGCCTGTTAACATACACTGGTTACCTCTAATAAAAACTGCAGTGCATTTCCGCAGTTTTGTATTGTTTCTGAATATCCCCTATTTTTTTTTTTTTTTTTCTTTTGAAGAGTATATATAACTCTTCCAGATCCTAGTAAAGACAAGTAAAACAGAATTTTGAACTAATGTCCAGAAGAAAGTATACACTGAGCATTTCGTCCTGCTTCAAACAGTCGTTTTTCCATTGTATGCGGTATTTAGGTACAATGCCCATTTGTTTTGCGTTTTATTGCTTAGAAATATTGAATTTTGGACGCACGAGACATGTTCAATGTAGTTTTATCACATTTTTTTGATTTAAACAAAACTTGGTCATATTTTTAGTGTGTATACTTTCTTTTGGACATTATTGTGTATATATATATATATACTATTCAAAAAAAGTAGGGGATATTTGATTTTTAAGTGTTATTAAAGTCACCTAATGAAACTGACGAAGAAACAAATGACAAAATGAAATGAAGTTCACATTCATCAATTTATTCCAAATGATCGTTAGACTAAGTAAGGCACAGACTGACCATTATAAGGGTAAAATGATACCCGGGGTCAAACAGCAAAGTTACCACAGCATCACAACCAAGTCAGTAACGGGTAAATCCTCCTCTGTTTGCCAAACAAGCATTGATCCGACGTGGCATACTCCTAATGAGACGTCTAAGGTCATTTTGGTCCAGATTGTCCCATTCCTGTTGCAACGCAGCAGCAAGTTCTTGGACATTGGCAGGACGTTGATGACGTTGACGTAACCTCTGTCCAAGCATGTCCCAGACATGCTCGATGGGGGAGAGGTCGGGACTCAGTGCTGGCCAAGGTAATGTGGTGATGTTCTGTTGTTGGAGGTAACCTGTAACGATCCTGGCCCTGTGACATCTTGCGTTGTCATCCTGGAAACGGCGGCCGTGACGTCGTGCGAGCGGCACAACATGGACTGCCAAGATGTTGTCCCGGTAGTACTGGCCTGTAACACGCCCTGCAACAACATGTAAAGCCGTTCTTCCAGCAACAGTGATGCCTCCCCACACCATAACAGAACCACCCCCAAATCGATCATGTCTGATGACGTTAACGTCTTGGAAGCGCTCGTTTCGACGACGCCACACCCTCCTACGTTTCTCCAAAAAATCAACAGTGAACCTTGACTCATCTGAAAACATCACATTGCTCCAGCGTCGATTATCCCAGTGTTGACGATCCCTACACCAACGACGTCTTGCCTGAATGTGATGATCTCTCAAACAAGGGATCACGCGAGGACGTCGGGCGCGAAGGTGACCCCTATGCAGTCGATTCCGAATCGTCTGGCCACTCACTCTCACACCAGTGTCTGTTTGAAGACGAGCGCTGATCTGATTTGCTGTGATGACACGATTTCTCAAGGCCAAGGTACGGATAAATCGATCCTGGGCTTGAGTTGTCGCCATTGGTCGACCTGAGCGTGGTCTGTCCTGTACAGATTGTGTATCACGGTATCTGGACCATAGCCTGCTTATGACAGACTGAGAAACATTCATCGTCCGCGCCACAACCGCCTGTGTTGTGCCGATCTGTAGCATGCCAAGGGCACGTAACCTTTCATTTTGGGTAAGCCGACGCATATCAAAGTTGTCTGGTCACTAAAACAATTAAACTGATGTTTCCACCCTGGAATTCAATGCCACAATGACTGTAACATTCAAAGTCAGAGTCGTGCAAATCTTGGGTTGGACCCCCATGATGATCCCAAGCATCACCTGCATTCCATGCGGTAGCTATTGGTGCGTTTGGGCGTCACATGTAACTGGAAATGTTTCTTCTGTTAGGTTCTATAGTGACTTTTTTCGTAGTCATTTGCAAATTTTAGTATTATGCCCCCAAAATCAAATATCCCCTACTTTTTTTGAATAGTATATATATATATATATATATATATATATATATATATATATATATAAAAACCCGAAACGATATAGGCTCTTGTGTTTTAATCAAATTAGCGATAATTCGGACTTGACTTGATCACATTTAAATCGAATTTTTAGAAGAATAAAAGCCCGGTTTAGACACTCAAATATACTAAGCAGCAAAAGAAACGTCATGTTGGTAGTAACTCTGAATAGACGCATTGCATAAAACTTGCCAAATGTTTTTATTGTATATTTGTGACATCTCCAACTTTACCTGAGCAAAACGGTTCCTTCCCAAACACAGAATTGAATCCAGGAAATGTTATCAAAAACGCAACCAGACTGCTGCACGTGCTGTTCACAGGGGCCAGTCCTATCAAATGCACCTCCCCCCCCCCATACCTGATTGAGTCATTTACACTACAACGTCAGCAGCATTCCACGACTCACAACTCGGAGGAACGAGGTGCTTGGAAGGCTCGACGCTGGCAACGCTGCACAAGCCCGTTGTCAATCACTTATAGATCAATGTTCGGACCATCTACAGGCTTCAGCAACGCTTTCGGGCCACCAACACCACGGATGATCTCCCCGAACTGGTAGACCAAAGGACACCACAAAGCGACAAGACCGCCATGTTGTGCGATATCACGTGCAGAATCTCTTCACACAGACATCTGAGACAGCACGTCAGACAGTGGGAACAAACGGAAGACTTATCAGTACCGATACAGTACGCCGACGTCTCACCAGAGAGAACATACATTGCCGTAGACCGATCCTCCACCCCGCGCCATCGCCGTGAACGTCTAGTTTGCCCAACACCAGAACTGGCGACACAGGCAATGGAGAACTGTTCTGTTTACAGAGGAGTCGGTATTGCGTAACAACTGCAGATGGCAGGACTAGAATATGGCGTCGACGTTATTCTGACCAATGTGTCATGGAACAAGACTGATGGGGAGGTCCAAGCATAATAGTTTTGGGTGCAATCGGCCTGAACCAGAGAGTGGGCCCTGTGGTGTTCCGAAATCTTGGTTCAGACAGAGGAGGCGGCATCATAGCAGTGCGCTACATCGATCAAGCTCTCAGACCCCACGTCATACCATATTTCGCACGTCATCGAAACAACGTTTCCCAGCATGACAACGCCCGTGCCCACACCGCCAGAGTTACTCGGGACTTTTACAGCAGAACAGTGTCAACGTTATGCACTGGCCATCCCTTAGTCCGGACTTAAACCCGTTTGAACATGTTTGTGGTGAAATTCAGAGGAGACCAAACACAGCCGATGGATAGCGCCAGGCTTTTTTGAGAGTGGTTCCAGGTGCCAATGGCGTTCATCAATCGTCTGGTCAACTCCATGTACAGACGCTGCGCTGCTGTTATTGACACTCGCTGTGGACACACAGGATACTGACTGTGTACAGACTCTTAAACCTTCTCGTAATGTCTTGGAATTGTGATAAATTTTAATCACTAATGTGTCAACATACTGTTCACAAAAAATTGATTTGATTCATCTAGTAAGTCGTTTTCTAGAATGATTTGCGTAAAGTGCCCCCTTTTTAGCTGTTTAGTATATTTGAGTTGGATATCATTTGTACATAGATGTGTATGGTCGTCTGTATCGTTTCTTCAATAAACTTAAACATCTTCAAACATGTTCATAGTTCACCTTTCAAATCGAATGTGCCCAACATTTAAAGCCATCATTTAATTTGGGTGGATATAGGTCATGTCTTACATGGCTTGGAGACTTTATACATTGACCTTTTCATGTGGACTTAAAAAATAACTGCGTTGCCCTTGTCCGTCTGGATGTTGTCCGTGATACTATACAGGTCACAATATTTTTGTCAGATTTTGATGAAAGTTAAAACGTGTTTATCAAAAACCTCCTTTGTAAGGGTTCTTTTTTGATGCACCTCAGACCGACACGTCCGGTTTATGACCCATTGTTGGGGCGCTAATATCATAGATTATTTCCCTTGTTTGTACGAAACGTCGCCTTCTAGAGGTTAAAGAAATTTGAAAGAAAACCGTTCGAATGTTACGCAATTATCGTGGATGAAAATCGCAGCGAACATCCTGTCAACATGGCCCTACTTTTTCTACACAAATAGTGGCTAAGCATGTATACATATACCAAGGTTGTGAATCCTCTGAGGCCGATTTAGATGAGAACTTCTTAAAAGGAAAGTGGGAGTGGATGGCCGAATGGTTAGCACGTGCGCGCTGTATCATAAGGTCTGTCACTGAGTTAACTGGCGAGGTTTCAATTCCACGGTTGTGCGTGACGAGGAGTAGGGTCGCCTGTCCAACCTCGCCCCCCCCCCACCTCCGAGTCCTTCGGTTTCCCCCCACTGCTCAAGGCCCTTACGCGCAAACGAATTATTGAAATAAAACTGAACCATATGTTAATCCCAAAATAACTCAGTTTGTGCCGAGTGGACGTAAACACCCCCCCCCCCTCTCTCTCTCTCTCTCTGTCTTAAAAGGATAACAAATCTTGAATGAGTTTGATTTTGATGCCCATCTTTCCTTCTGCTCTGGGGGGTGGGGGTGGATGGCTTAGTGGTTAGCACGTGCGCGCTGTATCATTAAGTCTGTCATTGAGTCAACTGGCGTGGTTTCGAATCCCCGGTTGTACGTGACAAGGAGTAGGGTCGCCTGTCCAACCTCGTGGGTTTTCTCCGGGTCCTCCGGTTTCCTCCCACTGCTAAAGACCCCTACGCGCAAGCGAATTATGGAAATAAAATTGAACCATATGTTAGTCCCGAAATGACCTAGTTTGTGTCGAGTGGACGTTAAACCCCATTTCTCTCTCTCTCCCCCTTCTGCTCTGAATATATACGTCCCCGCCTTTTGCCGGTCCTTTTCCATTTTTAACAAAAAACTATCGCATATAATTATGTAAATTGATTTATCACCCAATAACACATTCTACAGTAGATATCGCTTGTGTGATATATATTAGGAGATATCGCTTTACATGAATTTGATTGGTCAGTTGAAATTGAACTACTTTTTTTATTTTCAAAGAACAGTTCATTTCTTATTAAAAGTAATTTTTTTTTATTAAAAAGGAACTATTGTTATTCAATTGACCTGGGTGGAAACACTGGGTCAATATAAAGGACTTTGCCATGGTTGAATTGCTGTCATAAAATGATGTATCACTACGCCGTAATGTTCAGTAAAAGTGAAATCTACAGCATAGAATTATATTTATGTATTTGTGCATATAAGGAGGCATTGGGTGATAAATAAAATCTCCTACTCGTGTTTTTTGATATCAAAAAATATCAACACTCGTTGATAAAGTAAAAAAAAAAACGGCAGAGCCTCGTTTTTTGTTACTTTATCAACTTGTGTTGATATTGTTTGATATCAAAAAAGACTGGTAGGAGATTCTCTATATAAACCACATTACTGTCGATCAAGCAACTTGATCTGTACTTGATTTGATATCATTCTGGGGTAATACCCAGAGATATAAACTCTACTTGTATCAAGTTAGCCTATAATTTGTTAGCCTATAATTTAACATGTACTGTTAGGATTTTATTACGGCACGTCATCTACTAAAGTTTAGCTATGTTGGCACCGTCACCAGATATTCTGAAGAGTGGCTTGAAATTAGGATTACTTATGGCCTCTCTGTTTTTGGTAAAACCAGATATATCGTATTGGGTTTGACCATCTATCGCCATTTCACTCAAAATTTTACCAAAGAGACTGGCAAATCTGAAATAAAAAAATATATGAAACACAAAACTCATGTTTGTGAGATGCCTAAAGTAGGGTGCCTCAAGCTAAAAAAAAATTTCGAAAACTATTTACAGTTACTGAACTATAACTATATATACAAATGTATATATAGAACAAGCCTAGGCGATCCTTTATTATTAAGTATCAAGAAGATACATAATCAAGAATAAATTCAAATTCGGGATCACGTTTTTTCTTGTATCATAGCATTAACCCTTTTCAATTACTTCATTCTTTTTCACCAAAAGAACCGCTAGCCTTTTTCTTCGATTTCTTCCCGTCTTTGCCTAAATTTATAAAGCCGATTTTTAGTTATCGTTTGAGCATCCATTAAGACCGAATTATGTTATTCAGAAAAAGATTTTTAAGCCATTCGCCAGATGTTTTCATTTTATATAAAATGGTTACTGCGTTGTCAAAAATATTAGACGAGGGCACCATCCTCATTAATCTGTCGAGATGACTGAACACGCTTTCTGTTAATTTTTAGTGAGGTATGGCAGCACTCGTACATGAAGGATTACTCGGGTAAGAGGACTTCTAAAACCTGGATAAGGGTTGAATTAAGATTTAAATCAGAATTAAATTTTGTCAGGTTAGCAAAATTCGAACATATTCACTTTTGATCAGGGATTCAAATGGATGTGATTTACCTTCAACAAAGTTTTGAATATTCGTGTTTTCGAAGAGAAATCATGTAATTTTTGATAAATAGTTTTAATGTCACTGTCAAGGGCATTAATGCCGCTTTCTAATATGCGCCACAGTGGAGCAGTTATTCATTTTCTATAAAGACCAAAGCCTGGCACTCAATATGAAATAACGGAATTTTAATCTCTTAAAATATGCTTAGGGTCAATCAAAGAAAATGTTATTTTATATGCTTGGCTATATAATTTACAATTGCGGCATTATGAAAAATAATATTAAACCGGTTACCATGAAATGGCCTTAGCGGTAATTTAACTTAAAGGGTAAATAACAACCCGACTTTGTAAAGGCTTTCAGATAGTTTGAACCCAGGTTCGTTTGGCAAAATTCAGAAGGACTTTTATCGGTTTAACCAGATATTATATAACCAGATATTAGAAGAAGAAATGGTTTATATTTAAAGATACATTATGCAAAAGGTAAATCTGCCTATTGCAGGTCATTCTTAGGCCTGAAATGTTATATAATATTAAACTATTAAACATGTATTATGCAAGAGCTAAATCTGCCTATTGCAGGTCTTTCTTTGGGCCTGAAATGTTTTCTAAAGTATTAATTAGACATTAATTAACTGATCCAGGCCTTAATCAACTCTCGATGGCATCAGATTTCTCCGATATTAAATAGATTAGAATGGTTCAGCGATCCTTTGATTTAATCAAATATGGAGGAAAGAGACTTAGCTTCGATCAACCAGTACGGTGGTTGAAATTATTGCACACGTCTGTCAACCCTTCAAAGGCTTGCAATAGAGTAATTTGAATGAAATTTTCAAATTATTCATTTTACATCATCTACTTTCGAACTATTATAGCAAGAATGGCTAGTTCTTTATCTATATCTTACATAATGTATCTTTAATTAGACATATATTAACATGAAAAGACCATAATCAAATCTATGTATCCGACTTACATTGGATTTGAATCCAATCTGCTGTTCAACGCTCATTGATGATTAACCGCAAAAGTGGATAATCGAGACTTTGTTGATTATCGTGACAGCGGTAACAATGACAATCGAGGCTACAGTGATTTTAAAGTAGCTAAGTCTTTTACTCAATGTCATCCACAGTCTTTGAAATTGAAAACACGAATTATTCGTCAATTTAAATCAACATTGATTGTGATCTTACCAGGAAAGGATGGGCTTATGATATCTAATATTTAAGACAAAATAAACATTTTACCAATAGTACGCGAATCGTGCACCATATTGCGCTTCAGCGCTATTTGTAACGAGACTTGACATATTCCACAAGTCATGACAAACGGCGACGCCATGTTCTTAATTATTTATGTGTGAAATAGCTTTATTTAACATCCGCTTCAACCAAAGTGATATTCTTATCCGGAGAGCAAACGCAATAAGTACTACCGGTGTAGACTGGAATACCCAGACGCTAGAGGTTGCCATTCAAGTGAGACTTATCGTGAATTTCCTCGAACATAATTGATTAGAAATTAGAGTAAAAACGGAAACGATTGAATGTAAATCAGTTTATATACATTCATATTACATTATTATATGCATTGCGACCCATTTGTGTCAATTTCTAGATCCCAAATATTATAGTGATTTAGTCCATTTAAAATAAGGTTTTCTCGGCCTAGAGAGGAGCAATTTGACTAAAATTTTCAACACATTCCCTTTATATTATCTAGATTGGTTTTTTTTATCTAATCTTCCATTATGTATCTTTAAGTGAAGATTTCGCTCTGGATCGGATAAATGTGACCAGTTTTCTACTAATTTAGATCAAATAATATTGCCTCTTTACTGTTTTAATAAAGTGTTAAAAAGCTTTTCGGTGCTGGCTCTGTGTTACATGGTATTTCTAATTTCGAAAATTACTAATGGGCCCAGCTATATCATCAAGATCTGCAAAGATTCAATTTAAAGTTATAAGAGAAGTTTGCGCATATATAAATGGCGTATGAGTCGAATCAGTGGTTTTGACATATGCACCGAATTTGGAATTTGGGAGCCAAATTTTGAGGTTTCATTCGCATATAAAATGGTTTTCTCACTGATTTTAGGGTTTCCGAAACAAGTTTTAAAGATACACCGACGCGTAGTATTTGTTTGAATGAAATTAGATTCGACTCCCGCGACAACCAAACATGTGGTTATAACCGAGTTGGCGTTCCTATCGGAAACGTTGAGGTTATAGCATTCTGAAGTGTATCTTTGATTTTCGACATCACCCAAAAATATATTCTTTCCCGTTTTTTTATTTGCCAAAACTTTATTATTATTAGCCTTCGCACGAATCAATGCTTTTGGGGTTTTCCTTAGTCGATTTTTAAACGGAAAATTGTTATTTTATTCCTATTGATCCTACTTAATAAATACTTTTTTTTCTATTTAATTTGGTCAGATGTCTGCGTCTCTCTATTAATTAAATGTATCATGCTGGTATCTGCCGATGGTGTCTCGTGTACTTTCCAGGGGGAGAGGGGGTTGCCATATAATTTTAAAGATTTATTAGAATTATTTATTTTTTTTACCCAGCTTTTTAGTCTTTGTCTTCAGTCTGACCAGCCTAATTCGAATATCTTTGTAATCAAACGTCACGCAGTCGTCATGAGCAGTAATTATAGACTGGTGCTCCGTATTGGTCGGAAATTTTATAAATAATACCTAGTACTAGCCTATTTGTAATTCTTGCAAGGGGGAAGTTTAGTTATTGTACCGAGATCATAGTGATCGCCCAAACCAATGCTGGATAGAAATTCATCGTTGGACGCCATTCCAACAAATCGAATCGATTGACAACAAATTAAAAAGAGTCCGTCGGTCAATTCCTAAACAAATTAAAAAGATTTGTTTCCCCTTATCCCTAAAAGTAAATAGTTTCGAACAGTAAATATGGTCAACTGAGACTACCCTTCGTTTTGGTTAATTCCAGGTAGCAAATTTGAAATACGAAACAAGCTGTTAATTTTCTAAATTGGCAACATTTGTCTTAGGCGATTCAACGAAGATTTTAGGAACCTTGCAAAATTTAAAGACAAATACTGGTTGTATTCTTATCTTGCCTAACACAAGTGTTTGGGAGATATGAGATCGCCGAAACAAAACGACACACTCTGTAGATAAATAGCGAATAGAAAAATATAAACGACAGCAATTTTTAGAATTTTTAACGTAGTTAGCGATCCAATAATATCTCAAGACAAACGCGTCATGAGAATATTTTTAACATGTCTTTATTTACCATTTGATGTTGTGACTACCGCGTGCATGGCCGTATATAGTGAATATTTGCTCCGATAAATTACTCGCACGTGCTTCGAGTGGGCTCGAGCCTGTTTCGTCATCATTCCGAATCTGGTCGATCAAGACCAAATTTCTTAGAGGTTAAATTTGGTTGTGTGGAGCACCCTACCTAAAGACAAAATCATTGAAAATGAGTTTACGGGATTTCGCTCCCGTTTAAATTTACAGAAAACTATACCACGCCAAGTCAATTAAAACAAAAAACAACCCCCCAAGAACCAACCAAGTGATCGTATCAATAGACAGGACGTTAAACTCCATTTCATTTAATTTCTTTACGAATTTAAGCCCCAATATATATATATATATATATATATATATATATATATATATATATATATATATATATATATATATATAGAGGATATTTGTCGTTTTAGAGTGAATAGCATATTTTATTTCATCGAGAAGCAAGAAAACTTATATTTTCACGAATGCGTAGCATGAGTGAAAATATAAACGTTTTCTTGCTTAGAGATGAAATAAAATATGGTATTCACGACAAAACGACAAATGTTCTATTTATTTTATGATTTTACAATCATTTTAGGTAAAAACAACTAGCCAGTGGAATAACACTTTTATTTCACTGATAAAAGGCGGTATTCCACTACTGATCATAAAATAAATATATATATATCCGTGACCAATGTAGTAAAGTCCATATTCGGAGGAGGTGTGGGATAACTTTAGTTTACTTTAAAATAAAAAGAAGTAAAAAATTCCATGCTTACTTGAGCGCATTCCCAGCACCACAACAGAATACAATATCGGGAAAGCCAACATGATCGCATTTATCTATAACGTAATGTCTATCTCGGGTCATAGCATACAAACAGGTTTTCGTTTGTACCACAGGACCTACAAACTAAAATAAAAATAAAACATTTAAAACTGTAGGTTGCCCAACAATTGCTTTTCGTCAGGGCCTTAAACAAGAACAGCCATAATTTAATTGTATTTGCAATTACTGTATTGGTTCTCAAACCATATTAAATAGACAAATTCTTCAAATATATAGAACAAAATAGCAAATAAAACAATATCCTACATCAATAAAAAAAAATTAAATTGTTTTCTCTACTAAAACACTCGTGAAAGCAGATTGATGATTATCTCTATTCCCACAGATCTGGACAAATATGGCCGCTGTTAAGGCAGCGTGTAAAAAGAATACATAGCAGGAGCCTAGACACTCTTTAAAATTCGCGATTTTCAGTATCTTAAAAATTTAATTCAATTAATTTAAATTACAATGATAACAACAAGAATAAAATAAAGAACTGAATTCTAGATAAATTAAACCCCTTACTTTAGGTGCTATAGATGCCATAAAATCCATCGTCAATTTCTCTAACTCGGCATTGGGAGTAAAATTTCGGGTAGCAGAGGTCACGACTTCGCCGCAAGCATCGGCGCCTATTTTAGTTGCTGCATTCCCATGAACTGGCATCTGATAAAAATCACAGTAGGGGGTATGGAAAGTAAAAATAGGAAACCTAAAAATAGAATTGAAAACTGTAGTTCAAGAACTTAGTATGTCACTATACGGAAACTGGTTGAAAATTATTACTTGGCACTAGGAAAATTATATAAGGAAAATTATATAAGGCGCTACTCATCTTGTAGTTCTACTTCTTTGGGAGACGCTCTTCTTAAAAAAGAACATAAGGCGCCACCAATTCAAGTACGATCGACACGAAACATGACATGCGCGGTCCTTGGAAAATTATGCCGTTGTGTAATATTAAAGAATGTGGTCTTACTTGTCTTTGGTGAACTCTTTGATATACGGAGTGCCCAAATAAGTAACTTGCTCTTGTGTAACTGTAATTAAAGAATGTGGTCTTACTTGTCTTTGGTGAACTCTTTGATATACGGAGTGCCCAAATAAGTAACTTGCTCTTGTGTAACTGTAATTGGTATGTGTACGCCTACAGAACCTAAGACTTGATTAATCCAGGCACCGGCAGCTACTACTAAACGACGACAGGTGAACGTCCCTTTCGTTGTTTGAACCTAAAACATAAATAAAGTGTTGTTTAGTTAGATATCATTATTGCTATTTTTAAAAATCAATCCCTAATAGATATTTCGTAAATTATTTCAAAATATCACTGAAAATACGTATATTTGCGAACTGAAGACGTTACTTTAGGGGAGATTAATCAGACTATGACCCACTACACCAGTGATTCTCAACCAGTGTGCCGCGCCACAATCTTCCTAAGGGTGCCGCGAAATTTTGAACGGAACACTAAGAGTCATTCTATGTGTCTATGACTAGTCTGTGTCTCCGGTATTGTATGCCGTCTATGACTTGTCTTGATTTTATTTTGCAAAATTCAAACATTTTCCATATATATTTTACCCAGTGTGCTGCTATTTTTTCATATGCTCCAAGATGTGCCGTTGGCAAAAAAAAAAGGTTGAGAATCACTGCACTAGACCATGGTTATTATTTGCAAATATTCCGAGTTATAGCCTTCTCCGGTTATTTGAGGAATGTGTGGGGGCAGGGGGCAGTGTACGTGACAATCTTGAGGGGTTTTTTTATCCGCCAGGACATCCAGTTTCATCTCACTGCTAAAGACACTAACGCGCAAGCGAATTATAGAAATAAAAGCGTACTATGCGATAGTCCTGAAATGACCTAGTTTGTGTAGAGTGGACTTTAAGACCCCATTTCCCCCTTCTCTCCCTTTCTTTATCCGAGGGATCTTTCTACGGTTCTTTTGTATGAAACTTAAAATAATCTTACCGTTATCTGTCCATTATCATTTCTAAGCACACGTATTACAGAGGTGTTAGCAAGTATAGATGCTCCATAGCCTCTAGCAAGCTGAATATGGACGGAATTAGACATGGCGGGATCTACGATGGCTGCATCCGGTTGATATAAACTCATGACTTCTTTGCCAACCTCGAATTGTGGAAATTTCTTCATCAAGGCTTCAGAATCTAATCGTTCGTATCTAGGATAAGAAAGAAAATTTCAGTCATTTTATACCAATTTCAAAGACAGATTTAAACCGGAATGGTTAGAACCTTACTAAGATGTCCATATTTATCAATCTATCTGCCTTTTAAATGAACAAAAATTAATTAGTCGCTGTTTCGGGGTACTGTGTAAGACTTACTTGATATTCTTGCGGTCCATAGCGTTAGCATATTCTTCAAAAACGAGATCCATTTCTCCACGGCGACACATAGTTAAACCACCAGTCTTATATACCAATTGTACGCCGGCTTCTTTCTCTACTTCGCGCCATCTATAATTATAGTCCCAGTATACGAAATAAAGGTTAAATATAGAGTTTGCCTCAAACAGATTGTAAGCAAACATTAAAATGGATCAATATTCTAATTCAAGTGGTGGGCATTTAATGTTTAACAAATCCACACTTAAATTGTTATACCAAATGTGTCAACATTTATTATTAGAGACCGGGGTCAGTACTAGAGAACATACCGTCATGTTCAAGGTTCTGAAAGTTTTGAAAGTTGAACAGTTGGAGTACACCTAAGAAATCATTGAGCGAATGGCGCGCGGGGATAGGGGAGGGGTGGGGTGTCTTAGTAAAGTCAATATTGTTATCAATTCATAAAACCAACCACGTCCCGACATGCAGAGAATTAAAACATGGTATATCATCTGCTTAAAAACCTCCAAGTTTGCAAGTCCAATTCTTAAATTGGTAGAATACCGTGTTCAATCCCTGCATTGGCCGAGAAAGTTCATCCAGATTAAATCCGGCGTGGTTCTCCCTTGTCAGTGATGCAGGACGGAGGGGCTGACAAGGAAAGCTGTCTAGTCGTTCGGATGGGACGAAAAACCGAGGTCCCGTGTACACATTGGCGTGCACGTAAAAGATCCTTTGGCAGTTGGAATTCGATATAAGAGTAGGCCGGAGTGCCGCTGCCCAGGCAAAATTTCCCTCATAGCACACTGTATGGCGTATGCCCGTCTTCATTAGCCCAGGTTAGGAGCAGAACAGTAGGACGTTAAACCCCATTTCATTTCATTTCATTTCTGGTAGAATACCAAATCAACGTGTGTTTACTATAGTACTATGGAAACCTGTTGTGACCATTTTATAATCTCGGCTTCTCGCCACAAGAAGCCACGGGCCGAGAAGAACGCCAGGATATAAAACGCGAGAATGCGAGAAGTTTAGAAGTCAAGGGACCACGGTGTAGAAGTCGGAATTGCAATATTGCCTCCATAGTTTACAGTAAATGACGTTATGGAGTGAAGGGCGTTATTCCAAAAGATTGTAAGTACTTGAGCTTAAACTGTTAAAATTAGTACCATTTATGAGGATAAAAATTGTTCCGGCTTGCGTGGACTTATGACCGATTAAAACATGTTTTATGTTTCAAGATGTCTAATGTGCCAAGATGTTTTAAGATGTGTAATGTATTTACTTACGTCTGTATTGTATGACGTCCTATATCTGTATAACGATCATTATGGTAAAGTAAACGTCTGAAATAAAAAAAAATCCAAAACGTGGGCTTTAAACTAGGGGCTCTTTTAAATTTACTCTCTTTAATAAGTTAGATTTAAGTAATTTAAATACAAATTTTCATGGTATGAAATAAATCTCACATGGTCCTTGAATGATCTTGTGAGCCACCATTCTGATGCCCCAATTCAAACTGTTCTATCCCTAAGACATCTGAAATTTGAGAAATTCATAATATAGGTCACACACAAAAAATTATAAAAGAAAATGTCAACGATTATGATAGAGACAAGATAGTTTGGGAAGTTTTTGAGATTGGAGAAATGGTGGAAGGCCGAGGGAATGGATTCTCGAAAAACTATTGCCCTTACATAATGGAAGACATTGTAAATACGATGATGAAAATGGTAAAATCAAAGAAGATAGCAACAGACGAATACGACGATGAAGGTCAAAGAAGATAGGTCTAAAATAGAATCTTTAATAAAACAGCGCACTTAGAAACCATATTATTCGTGATTACCTATTTGAAATCTTCAAATAAGAAGTGGTGTCAAATAATCTAGGAAGGATAAGCATCCCATGCAACGTGCACGACACACATTGTTTGCTTGGACCTAGCTGTACGAAGCCAAAGCTACTGGGTAGAAGATATATCCTTGGAGTCAAACACAATATTCAAGAAATTTTGTTTTTTTAGATTTATTAGCACATTGATGATAAAGATCATCTTGCTCAAGCGTAGTAATTATCTTCTCTAATGGGCGTAAAAAGAAAACACCCATTTTAGCCTTTTTAAAAAATTAAAGATGGATAGCCACACATTCCAAACTATGATATAAACAATATGATCCTTTGTTGGAGGTGTCATACTATAGCTTCTTGATAAAGCCAATTCTATTCGACTCTTGCGGCATAGAATATTTTGTTTCTCGACCGATAAAATATTACAGTATATCTCGAATTTTACCAGTAGCCTACCGTGGTTACGATAATAAACAATCAATGCACATATCTTGTCAAAGCTACAAACAGTGATACATTGGCTCAGAATAAAGTAATTTGAATTAAATTTCCAATAATATATTACATTTGCATTAGTTAGTGTTTGTTGTATTTTACGTCCGCTTCCACCGAGGTGATATCGCAGACAAACATTTGCATTATCTATTTTTGAACTATTATAGCAAGAGCGGCCAGCTCTTTATCTAAATCTTACATAATGTATCTTTAATTATATATAACGAATGCTTGTGGCAAATATATTTTGCTAATAATGTAGTAATATCGTACTTCCTTGTTGTGTTTCCTGGGGGATCACGTGGCTAAGTGGGTAAGACGCTGGCTCGCTAGCCTGGAGGTCGGGTGTTCGATCCCTGCATTGGCCGAGAAAGTTCATCCAGATTTTCCGGCGTGATTTCCCCTAGTCAGTGATGCAGGACGGAGGGCCTGACAAGGACAGCTGTCTAGTCGTTCGGATGGGACGAAAAACCGAGGTCCCGTGTACACATTGGCGTGCACGTAAAAGATCCCCTGGCAGTTGGAATTCGATATAAGAGTAGGCCGTTGCGCCGCTGCCCGGGTAAAATTTCCCTCATAGCACACTGTATGGCGTATGCCCGTCTTCATTAGCCCAGTTTAGGAACAGAACAGTAGGACGTTAAACCCCATTTCATTTCATATCATTTCTGTTGTGTTTCCTTCGTGATCGTAATAAAACTACGACTTTATTGTTGGTTTCTACCACCTTATTGTTAAACTAGTTGACTTCAAAGGGCCCTCGTTCTCAATAAAGCATAGATGATAGCTGCTCGAAATATCTAGGTGAGCTCTGATCAATTTCGCTCAACACCCTCTTTTATAAACCCCTTATTTCTGCACGTTGTAGACTGACCTTGGCGTTAATTTCCTTCCCAAATATGGAATAAACAATCCCATTCTCCCAAGATCTGGAGCGGGGGGGGGGGGAGAACATTACCTTATTTGGTCTACCAGACACAGATATATATAGAATTTGATGGATATTTTGACAATACTAAGGATTTTACCAAAATATCACTGTTTTTTTGTCATTTACTTTCATTAGTACATGGGATTTGACTCTATAGAAAGTGTTAACCAAAAATTAGTTAAAGATACAATATGGTCTTAAAGACCAAAGTATTACAATAAGCCAGTTCTAAAATATGCCAGTGCGGGGAGTCGAAGGTTCTTTTGAATGTGATATTATATAAGATTAATTAAAACTATTTTCTTGAGGAGATTGGTAATGATATACAGTTATTGTGACATAAATCAAAGACGTAACTTTGTTGTTTATTGCTTGCAATGTCCGTGTGTTGTGTATGTAGTCCTCGGGTTTGTCTTATTGGTTTCTTTTCATAACCAACGTCCACTCGACACAAACAAGGTCATTTTGGGTGGAACTAACATATGGTTCAGTTTTATTTCAATAATTCGCTTGCGCGTAGGGGTCTTTAGCGGTGGGAGGAAACCGGAGGACCAAATAAACAACAAATATTAAATCAACAGAACACAGTTTTTATGGGATACAATCGCTAGTTTATTCTAAAAGCACGACGTTTCGACAAGTATCCTCTTATCGTTATCAAGCACAATGACATTTAGTAAACTTGTGGACAATATATATGAAATACACACTCTTATATATTTATCTTCAAGTTTACTAATCTGGCGAACACACTTAACTAGCGATTGTATCCCATAAAAACTGTGTTCTGTTAATTTGTTCCCTGATCGGTAAATGCCACTTAAAGAAAATATTAAATCAAGTAAATGGATCTGGGGGCCAGTCGCAGGCGTCCACTGCGCTATAAAATCACGGGCCTGTAATGGCACAGGCTTTAATCAAAATACATGTATAAGAAATGACTTAACAGAAATAAATGACAAGGAGTAGGTTCGTCGTCGTAACCTTGTGGTAAATATCAGGTTTATGCGGTTTGTCCCTACCACTAAAGACCTGTACGCACAAGTGAACTATTGATAAAATTAGTACCGTCTGTTTGTATGACGCGGTTCTCCTGCACTATTTATTTAGGCACGCAACAGATATTGTACTCTTTATCATGTGGATCAAATTGCGATATCACATCTCATTTATTGATAATACTGCAGAACGTTTGTTTTGTGGGTCAAGTTTTTGACGATATCATAAATATGCCCATCTCATATCTTTCTAAGTCACTAATAAGAACCATTGAACTACATATGACTTGTAATAATATATGCACTAAAAAGTACACTAAATACATTTATTTGTTCATAAGTCATTTATATCGATTAATTATGGCCATATCGATTAACGCCCCCTTCATGAGTCTCATTTCAATTAAATGATATTTAAATCTAAATACTTTGGCTTACAATATATTATCACTATGCCTAATAATAAAAAGTAAAAAGAAATATAATTTTAGTTTATCGGGAAATAACGGAAAAACAAAACAAATTATCGCTTGTTATAAAATAGGAAACCCACATAGATACGAAACCTCTGCGGTTTTGCTCGATCCCAAGGCAAGAAACCGCGACACGTGTCCATTCTTGTCCAGGACCTTATTTGTTTTGTTTGAATTGTTTGAAAATAATAACCAAATTATACAAAAATAGAGTGGATCCGAGACATGTTGTGCACAGGGCACAGTCAGTGTTATACTTGTACACTGTGGAAAATGGGTTATTAAAAACTATAAGCAGTGTTAATTAAGTGTAAACTTTACACCGCAGCTAGTGTTTTTTAAATGTGATACCTTTCCAAGGGTAACCAACTAAAAGAACTACACCTAACAAGTGTAACCGATATTCATGACTACTGAACAGGTGTAACTGTCTGAGTGCATCAAGCAGGTTACACTACTGGAAGTTGCAACTAGTTTCCACCTGAATTGGTGTAATGTTCTACACTAGTTGGGTGTTATCGGTTTACACCACTAAAGGCTAGGAGTTACCCCTATTTAGGTGGCAACTAGTTTCCACTACCTTAATGTTTTTAACTGTGTACTCTTTTTACATTCGTTTTATATATTACAATAACACCATATATTTTCTACTTTTAATATCCATCCCTTGCTGACTGTTGTCACCTATGAAAGACACATTACCTGCTTTTGCGCGTTTTGCTAGCCAGTAAACTGCAGCACTGCCAATTCCCCCACAACCAACTACAATATATTCAAAGTGAGTTCTTCCCTCGTCACACCATGTTCGTCTGCTAGCCGCCATGTTAACAAATGATGTTTTAAAATGATTTAAGTTACCTCTATACTTATACTGGGTTTTATTTTTCGGTTGACTGATTATATACCAGTACTAGCTAGTTTCTTATCATCATTTTGTATCAACAAATATTGCATTACACCAGGGGTCACCAAACCTTTTTCAAAGTGGGCCAGATATAACTGAAAGAATGGCGAGCGCGGGCCGGATAAATATTTTGTTCAATCAATACATAAAATTCACAAAATAATAAAAACAATAAAATATTTTAATCTTACCAAAATGTCACCAAGTTAGAAGATTTATACAAAATTTACGATGTAATAGTTATATCACATCTAGTACGGACATAGTTGAATTGCATAAAATGTGATGGCCCGGTCCCACTGCACTTACGGATGCAAAGAGGATGTAAAACGGGGAAAAAAACGTGCCCTCCGTTTGAAAACGCCATGCATCCGTTGTGTACTCATTGCATACGTGTTTCATACTCTCTATCCATCGAGCATCCGTTCACTTTGATTTCATCCGCGCAAAAAGTTTTGAGCTGCACAAAACTTTTATAACGGATGAACTTTCTGCCGTGTACGATGTAAATGTCCATTATCATCCGTTAAACGTCTACTGTATCCTCTCTGCATCCTCTGGGCATCCTCGTAACTCACATCCGCTCCAGCTGAAAACGGAAAGAGGGAGGAAAGATAAGGTACATGGAACGTCTATACATCGTTAGTAGCACGGAAATAGAAAGGATGTAAGCGTATGCATCTCGTATATAAAGTATCAAAACGAACAAAGCGTTTGTATCTGGGATGTATCTGGTATATAGAAGGATGTCTGGAGTTTTCCGGAGCTGTCATCCACTTCCATCCGCTTTCATCCGCTAGGTTTCCGATGAACATCCATTTAACATCCCCGCTACATACTTCCCACGTTCGCTCTATTCCGTTATGTTTTCGTCAATTTTGTCCATTTCTGGAGCGGATGAAAACAGATGGAGCCACCCCCTAAAGTTTGCTCGTCCGCTGTGTCCTTTTTGCATACGTTTTGTGTCCATCGGCCACTGGGACCGGGCCTTAAGCTAGAAGCCGTAGACAACACCAAAGTTGATGAGATTTAAACTGGCGTCGCGCGAAATGCATACCAGCCAATCATAGAGCAGCAGTGTCTCTGGTCACTAACAACCCTCCACATAAATAAAATCTTAGCCTAGCAACAACGCATACCCATGTTTTTTTTTTCAACATGCAACAGCGGGCCGGACAAACTGATGTAGTACCCCCTGCATTACACTAATCACTATACACGTTTTAATTTCGTTTTCTTCTATTAGTGTTTAACGTCCGCTTCCACCGTTAATGATAACGCAGACAAGTTTTCTTATTTCATTATACTTAGCGCACGTGCGAGGTCTATTCTGCGGAAGAAAACCGCAGTACCCATATTAAACCCACGAGATTGAGAAGGCGACCCCTATCTCCAAGCCACATACGCTTACACCAGGGATCGAAACCATGACCTCGAGTCAGAGGTGACTGACCAGTTAGAGCTCACATTGCAACATTCTAGACAACTTGGCCATCCCAATCCCCTTGTTCTTAAAGGCATCGCTTTAAATAGGGAAATGGATTGAAATGAAATAAAAAGGGTATTTTACGTTCTACTGTTCTGCGCCTTTCAGTATGCTATGGCGGAAATTTTGCTACGGCCTACTCTTATTTCGAATTCCAAATGACACTTTTCCTTGCCAGACCGCCACCCCACCCCCACGAGGTTGGACAGGGGGTCCTTCTAATTGTCACGTACAAATGGTGAATCAAAATTACGACACTTGATTCAATGACAGACCTTGTGATGCAATGCACACGCGTTACCCATTCGGCCAACCAAATCTGCCTATTACAGATCTTTCTTTTTAGACCATTGCGCCTTAAATGTTATATAAATTATTAATTAGAAATTTATTTGAGAGAAATGGGGTTTAACGTCCACTAGACACAAACTAGGTCATTTCGGGACTATCACAAGGTTCAATTTTATTTCAACAATTCGCTTGTGCGTAGAGGTCTTTAGCAGTGGGAGGAAACCGGAGGACCTGGAGAAGACCCACGAGGTTGGACAGGCAACCCTACTCCTTTTCACGAGGAATCGAAACCAAGCCAGTTGACTCAATGACAAACCTTATACAGCGCGCACGTGCTAACCATTCGGCCATCCAATCAAGACCACAATCAACTCTTTTTAAAAATGGAGTGGCGATGCTAAGCCTCGAATATACCGGTACCGTGGTTACGATAATGAATAATCAATGCACACATCTTGTCAAAACTACAAACACTGGTAACTTTGCTCAGAATAAAGTAATTTGAATGGAATTTTCAGTATATTCATTTAGCATTATTTATTTCTGAACTATTTACCTGTTTACCTAAATCTAACATAATTCCCCTTTAAACAAACTGGATATAAGTTTTTGTTGACAGATCAACGGTTACTATATGTAGGTTATCTATTATGAAAAGGTGTTGATGTTCAATCATAATATCGAAATATGAATATGAGTCTGCTATTGCATATTAAAGTGACCGAAAAGGTATCGGGTATTCAAAATTATTGGGGCATTAAAACCTTTATAGTTGTATTTAATTTCACTTCATATGATATTGAAAATAATCCTCGATTTGGCCTACTTAGATTAAAGCACCGATCACGAGACACCGCGCTGAACTTTTTAAACGCGCCATGCAGAAATAATCCGTACGAAACCTTGCTTTACATAAAGATGCTTTATGTAAGAGCTAAATATGTCTAGTACAAATCCTTTTTTCTTGCTACATGTTATATACATTATTATTTCGTCATTTATTCAAATAAAAAAAACGATAATCAGCTGTCTAGATTATCGGGTGGCTTAGATATTGAATGGATTAGAACATTCGCGGCACATAATCTCTTAACGTTAAAATGGACGTCGCTAGATAAAACGACTGACAATCGAGTTACATAATCCTGTTAAGCAAATGTGGCAAAATTCCAAGTGCATTGTATTGATGGACACGAGTTTGAATATCCTTTATGATCAATGATATTATTGTTGGTTGACAACTTGCATGGTTTAGTCGCATCATGATTAGGAAAAAAACCCATCCAAAATCAGGTCACCTACTCGATTTTTTACATTGTTAATGCAAGATAGAAAAGTTATCAGATGATAACAGTGGTGTATGTGTAGCTCGGGTTTGTGTTAGACGTAATGTACTCTTCTATTGTCCCAAAACGATACTGCGTGCACGGTTTAATCATATCTACTTGTACATGCATGATTTAATCACGTCATGTTATAAGAAAAAAATGGTTCATTCCCATATCGCCGACTCGCCGGGTTTTAGGGGGAAAATTTTGATCAAGAACAATAGACCCAAACTGAAGGATAAAACTAGTTAAGCAGATAATTTTGGGAGCAATTATTTTTTTTAAATTTATAACAACCTTTAACACATAACACATAATTTTAACTTTTAGCACGCATAAAGTGTCCAACATACTCCAAAAATTCTAACAAATTCGGTTTCTTTCGCTATTTGCGCATATCAGACCGCAATTAATACATGTAGTCAGTACCAAAACAAAAGAGGATACCCATCGAAGTCTGATAATTTTCCTTCGAGTGATAGTTGCTGTGTGGTCGTATTTTTACACGTATTTGCGTGGCTATCTTTTTACTATGTATATATGTAATACTTTGAATTTCAGACATTTATGTCAGAAAAGCAGAAGAAATGCAACTTGAAATAAGGAATTTCATAGAATTTCCAAACCATTGCCAAGGGGAATAATGTTGCTAAACTGTTCGGCGGACGAAACATACAACATATCTGAAGAACAAGAAGACAGTTTGATGCATTATCTTTTACAAACATTCCCTAAGCTAAAGGATTTGACAAAAGATGTTGCGTCAATGATGCATGATACAATAGCTTTCGTCGTCAATTACAAAACAGGTGTTTAAGTTATAAACGTTGTAATAAAATTGTAATATAAACATAAACCAAAGGCAAATTAAACAAACATTAAATTCCAAGAAGTTTTTGAAGGGCCTCGATTTCTCGCGGCGAGAACCCGAGATTAGCGAAAGAGTAGAGAGAGAAATGGGGTTTAACGTCCACTCGACACAAACTAGGTCATTTCGGGATCAACATATGGTTTTAATTTTATTTCAATAATTCGCCTGTGCGTATGGGTATTTAGCAGTGGGAGGAAACCGGAGGACCCGGCGTAAACCCACGAAGTTGGACAGGCGACCCTACTCCTGGTCACGTACAACCGGGGATTCGAAACCACGCCAGTTGACTCAATGACAGGCTTTATGATACAGCGCGCACGTGCTAACCATTCGGCCACCCCCCCCCTCCTGAGATTAGCAAGAAGTCTAGATTACAACTTGGCCGCAACCGGCCACCTTAATATCATGTCTATTCTATACCATATATCTGCCTAATATGGACATAAAAGGGTGGGGGAGCAACTTTCCTGACTGAATCGAGGGCTTTAAGAAATTATCTATGGTGCCACATGAAAGAGGGCTAAACACTCTTTAATTCCATGCCATGTTTTTAGTGGCTCAAGAAAATAAAATAGCAGCGGTCGTTTGGTAAAACTGAATTGACAAACAAGACGGGGGGGGGGGGGGGGTACTGCTTTCCTAGGAAGGATTTCAGATTATGCTGAGGACTTTCAAGAATAATCTATGGTGCCACATGATAGAGGGATAACCAATCTTTCATTCTATACCAAGTACTGCGTGGCTCAAGAAAATGAAATAGTAGCGGTAGTTTGGTAAAAAACAGTTCACAAAGAAAGAGTGTGTGGGGGGGGGGGGCTTTGGGGACGTCTTTCAGACTATGACGAGGATTTTAAAGAATAAGTTATGTTGCAACATGAAAGAGGGATAAGCACTCTTTTATTCCATGCCATGTTATGAGTGGCTCAAGAAAATAAAATAGCAG